CAATCCCACCCAACTCATCTCTTACTTCTGTTTTAGAGGCTGGAAGTTAAATATTCTATTTCCCTTGATATTGGGAATGGTCATGAAACATTGTTAGGACAGACAAGGTGTAAGTGGAAATCTGCTGGGAGGAATTCCTTTTGGGAATCTTTTGCAATTCTAGTTTTTGTTTTTGTTTTTGTTTTGCGTGGTGTGTGTGTGTGTGTGTGTGTTTTCTTCTTCTTTTAAAGAAGGACATAATGGCCTTCTACCTAACTTCTTCCAGCTTGGGACACAGATATCATTCTGTAAGGGGCAACAGACTGGCTTGTGAAAAAGGTCAGCAAAAAGACCAAGAGAATCAGAATTTCCAAGAACTGACCATTATGTCTAAGAAATAAAATAAGTAGTAATAATTTTTTGACCTATGGCAGTGCCAAACATCAGCTAATATGTTCTTTGTGAAATACATTCTTTCATTTTATAAATTCTCATAATTCTATCAATAACCCACTTGTATTGGCAATATGAAAAAAGATTGTTAAATGCAAAATACATTGTAGCTGTGTTGTATTTTATGTTTGCATTGCCATAGATTGTCTTGATTTTTAAACTAGTTCATCGTATAGTAATGATCTTAATATCATAATATCCAATTTTATCAATTGGACCTTTTAATTTTTGGAGAAGTTAAAACATTCATCTGAGGGTCCTGACAGTTGGTAGAAGGAAAATACATTGAGAGACATTAACTAGAGAGGCAATTTTAGGTATCAAAATAATATGGAGACAGAAAAACTACATTAAGTATTGCATTGCACTAGAAGTAGTTAAGTTTATGGGAATAATTACTCAAGGATATAATTAATAGGTTAAAGGAGATTTAGATAAATGCACCCATGCTGTGGTTAATACCAAGTTAATATCAGAATTTGAGATATAAGGGCATCCTTTCAAACAATTAACGCCTCTCAGAACCCAGAGCAGGGTTTCCAGTTTTCACTACTCCAGTAGTGAAAAACCTCACTCTTGGAAGAGTCTGTCAGGGATGTAAAGAAATATCCAGTACTGGATGGCTTTTAAATTGTTTCCAAATCTATGAGTCTCTGATTATTAGTGACCATTCTGTATGTTCCTGTTTTTTCTCCCACAGAGATATAATAGCTGTATAAGTAAAACTTTACTCAGTTTATCAATTCTTGCATTAAGTCAAGAATAAACAAATACCTATTATGTGCCAGGCACTACAAAGATAGATGTGTGTTCTCCTGCACCTCTGTGTTTTCATTTCTCTTCCCATGACTTCCTCTGAAGTCCTTGCTGTTGAGGGAAATGACTTTGAAACCAGATAGAGCTTGGTTTCTACGTCAGCATCACCAAATTACTAGCTTTATAACCTGAACTCCTTTGAGTCTCAGTTATATCACCTGTAAAACAAAACAATAATATCACCACAATGTTATTGATAAGATTAAACAACATGTTAGGAAGTTGTCTGGCATATGAAATGTAGACAATAAATCTCCTTCCTCTTTTTTCCTATCATAGAAAACTGGGAGACTTCACCCAGCTCCATCAGTTCCATTCAAAAGTACCTGCCTCACATGTGCCAGCTCTCATAGAATACAAATGACACTTCATTTAAACATATACTCTTCATTCATGAAGATATGGTCCATCTTAGAAGGTGGAAAATGCTGTGATGTCAAATAATACACTAATTGGAATCTTTGCAGAATTACCCACCTTATGAGGTATGCTAAATGGTCAGGAATGAAAGAGGGGCTTGAAAAGTGTATGAAAAGGAATAGCAGATGGTACTTGGGTGCTAATAGAATAGAAAAGTCTGAAAGTAAAGGGAGAAAACAGAAAATGAGAGACTCAGCATGTGAAACTAAAGAGCCCTGGGCGTTTCATCAAGGACGGTTAGAGTCTCTGGCATGGCTAACTTCCAGCTCCACTAATTACAGTCTGATGACCAATTCTGGATACGATTCTTTATTTACCAGGTTGAGGCATTTCCACTCTTGCCTTTGGAATGCCATTCGGGATTGTGGTATCTAAATGAATTCATGCCACACATGCTCGGTTGAAAGATACTACAAAAACAAAAAAATAGCTGAGCAAAGTGGAAGCTAAAGACCAAACCTGCAGATGTTTCAATGCTGCTTTTATTAATTCAAGCCAGTTCTTGCCAGTCAAGTTACTAAATGGAGCGCTGGCACGTGACCAAACTGCATTCATCTGTGAAGTGGCTGGCAGCCTGGGTGCCTACAGACAATGGTGCTTGCCCTATTATTCCTGCCATAAGGGAGCAATTAGGCCATTGAAACTGGAATTTGTGCAGGTCAGGGACCCTACACGCTGATTTAAGACTCAACTCTCAGAGTGGGATGACTCCATGATTCTGCTCTAATCCACACAGAAGTTTCATTTCAGCTACCACCGAGTCCTTGAAAACCTGCAAGGTATCAAAGTCAACTCAAGTATAAATTTGGATTTCTGTATACCTAGAGGAATTCCAGGGGTCTCCTTCTTTCTAACAAGATTAGAATCTTCCCAAGTCTGGAATTGCACACGCCTTAAAAAAAATTTTTTTTTGAAGGAGGGAGAGAAAGAGAGAGCGAGCGAGCAAGGGAGAGGCAGAAAGAGAGAAGACACAGAATCCAAAGCAGGTTCCAAGCTCTGAGCTGTCAGCACAGAGCCTGACTCTGGCCTCGAACTCATAAACTGCAAGATCATAACCAGAGCCAAAGTTGGACGCTTATCGTTAGATGCTTAATTGACTGAGCCAATTCCGTTGCCCCTGGAATTTCACACACCTTAAAGTTAATTCAGTTTGATAGTAATATAGCTACCTCCAGCTCTCTTATGGTAACTCTTTGCATGGTATATCTTTCTTTTCCCATTATTTTCCTTTCAACTTATTTGTGCCTTTGAATCTAAAGTCTGTCTCTTTTAGAGGGCATATAAATGGACTTTATGATTTTTTTATCAGTCTTACAATCTTTGTTTTTTGATTTGAGTGTTTAGACCATTTACCTATGACATAATTACTGACATGGTTGGGGTTACCTTTGCTATATTTCTAAGCGTTTCTATATATCTCCTGTTTTCTCTGTTCTGTTTTCCCTTCACTGAATTCATTTTGTTAATGCTTATAATATAATAATGACAAGTCTTATTTTTGGCAAAAATTCTTTCTTTTTCAAGGACTGTTAATAAAATAACCCAGCTGATTTTACATAATCAATAGGACCACACTTTTTGTTCTTAGTGAGACTATCGTTCCCATCTTTCTTCATCCACACCTTGCTGTCTGGCCCATTCCACCCCTGCTTGAAGAAGTAGGTAAAAAAAGTAAGTATTTGACATCTGGACTGTGGAGAATTCTAGTATGCATGTATATATGTGTATAATGGTTATTAACTTAGAGAGAATGTGGGAGGGGATAATTTTTCTTATTGTCAGCTCCAGAGTAAGGGAAAGAATTTGATGGCTATCACCATTTTAATATGAAAGAAAAATTAAAAATATAATGTTACATTTGTAGAAGGTACGGGGTACCATGTTCTCTGTGATTTCAAGTATGTCAAAATAGAAATATGTAAAAAGTAAGCATATATGTCTAGAAAAAGTATAGTTTGAAGTTAGTAATTTCTCGTGCTGGTGTTATGACTGTTTTTAAATTATTATTTTGCTTTGCAAATTTTCTACAATATGTCCATGTTACCCTTACTCTATTTTTTTCTTGATTTAAAAATCGATACTCATTTATTTAATTAAAAACAGTTCAAATAATATAACTATCCCAAGGAAGAAAATAGAAGTCACCTCCAGTCCTCATTGACACTTCTATTTGGTGAACATTCTTCATGATGCCTGCTTGTGGATTATTGCATGAATTTTACAAAAGTAAAAAAAGACACCACAAAGGATAGGAAAGTGAATGTTGTGCCTATGCTCTATATCTTCAAATAATAAATTCCATTGTATGCCATTTATTGTATAGTGAATATATCTAGATTTTTTTTCTAGTACCTTCACTGTGTGTTCTTATCCTAGGTGAAGGGTAAAGTGAGAGAGATACTGCTTATCTCAGAGTAGAGAGAAAAGACAGGGCATTGGAGACATGTGCTAACACAAATTAGTACAGGACCATGTCAATAACCTCTTTGTAACTTAGTCTGTTTCTTCTGTAAAAATAACCTCTTCGGTCATCCTACTAGCCCTTATATATTAAGTAATTTTATTTCTTAAATTATAGATTAAATAACTTTTTTTTCACTTAATATTTTTTTTGTTTCTCACTATGTGGTCCAATCTGTTGTTATGCAACAGATAATTTATTATTAAAACATCTCATTAGAAGAAGATATAAAGTAATATGGATTCTGTGGTTTTGGTGTCAAGTCTGCAAAAGACTAATCACATTGCTATATTGTGCACAGGAAACACCACAGACACACTTAATTTTTTTTTTTTCTTTTTGACCATCAAAGTGAAAAACTGCTAAGGAGCTAAAAAAAAGTTGGAGCTCTGGAAAAAATTCTAATCTTGTATAAAACTAATGTACTTAAAATGACAACAACCACGTTCTTTGAGTCATTTTTACAAAAAGTTAATAGACAAGACAGGATGCTCCTTTACCTTGACGTAAGATAGCAGCTGATGCACAGGATAAGATAAGAATTAGACCAAAAATACCAAACCTCTGACCTCAAATCAGTGTACAGGATACACCACATATTGGACATTCAAAATACTGTCTTAATTTCTCAGCAATTTCTAATTATATAAGTTTAATGACTATTACCTGACAAAAATGGGTTTAAGTTAGGCTCCTAAAAAATTATTAGAGTTAACAAAGGTTGTGTTTCTTTGTTCTTGAAGGTGATGAAAACATTTTCCTCTAATGAGTTTGTCCAATAAAAGTCTTATAAAAATGCATATACCCTTTAGCTATTCATTTTAATAGGTTTATTCTGAGGTAAGTAAAAAAAACAAGCAGTGCAATATGCCTTATATTAGATGATGCCAAAAACTTTATTGGAGTGATATGGCACATGTTTCAGGGCAGTAATTATACACAATATTTTTCTTTTTAATCAAATGGATACAATTCTTCACACTGTCTGTTAACAATTTTAAAACCTCACAGTAGTTTCTCTTCACACCATTTCTCTTCACAGGCCAATGTTTCCTAATGAAGAAAGCAGAGAGACAGTTGTTGCATCCTGAAATAAGGCCAGGAGGTGTCAGAATTCATTGCTTAGTATCAGGATGTCCTGTGTGAAATGATTCTAGTATGAAGAAGACTTGGTGTGTTGCTGCTTCAAATGATTGTTTTTACTTGAGACAAGGTATATCAAACTCCAGGAAATTAGCCCCAGCTAACAGACAAGTAAGAATATTCTTTTATTTAATCAACAATTCACTTTTGCAAAGCACATGTTAGTATTGTGTGTGGGTGCAGTGTGATCTAAGGAAGCTTGTGGTATTTTGAGGAGGAAGGATGTATATATTAAAGACAAAGAACTTCATTTCCTCTCCCCACCCTCCCCCACCTCATCTTTTTTTTTTTTTTTCTGTCACTCAAGATGCAAGATGCCTCAGGGGCATGACAGCAAGACTGCCACCTGGCATTGGACCTACCACGCAGCCATCTCAGAAAGCCATCATTAGTTTCTCTGTGAGACTTCCCTTTTGCTTGGCTACTCTGTAGAGAAACAATTATGTCACTCAGTTTTCCTCATTCAATGTCTCTCTTAAAAATTGGGGGTAGGAACAGGTAATGTCAACAGGGAATTGTTCAAGGGGACCCCTGGCTTGAAGATATTTTAAAAAAATTTGTCCCCATTCTATACGCACAGATCAAGAGTTGAGTCTCAGTCTTTTGCAGAAGAGCTTCTAAAATTCCACTTAGTCTTTTTTTCATAAAGATGTGACTTGAAATATGGTAAAATCAAATATTATCATAGTTAAGAGCGTCACTGGTCCCTAATTTACTGCCATGATTTCTGTGGTGTGTCAAGTAATTAAAGGATTTCCGAGTCTCAACTCACCAGAAAGAACATGCAGCTACTCAAGGACCTGCAAGGGGCACAAGGCTTATATTGGCCTTGCCAAGGAAGTTCCAAATCAAAACAGAACATCCCCACTGTGCACTTGAGAGAAGGCAGAGAGATCCTGCAAATGGGATCCGGCTCATTTCATGCCCAGTCCTCATGGCATGTAGCAGGAGGAAAATGCAAGGGAGTCTTATGTCAAGTTCTGAACTGATTGGTTATGGTGGAAAGGTTTTGATGTATTTAAAAGGGCAAAAAAAAAAAAAAAAAAAGAAGAAGAAGACAGAGAGAGAGAGAAGCTGACCTCAAAGCAGAATACATTTGAAGTGATAACTCATCCTTGTGTATTTTTCAGTGTAAATTTTCAGCAAGTGCTTCTGTGTATATCTGATATGGGGTAGAGTCAGGCTGATTCTAGGGTGTAGTGGATTCAGGGGTTAAACTCAGGCCTTTTAGCCTTTCATAGAGGCGGAAACATCCACTCTCATCAGTTGAAAACTGGACCTCTTGGTGCCAGATATCAATGAGGACGGTGGGCCTGGGGATTAAGAACCAACATGGGGTCCTTTAGATTTTCTCAAGGTTTGATGGTTAAAGGCTGTTACTTGGAATTTCTAAATTCAAGGTTAAATTTTAATATGAGGATCAGAAGATACTGACTTGTTCACCAGATTACAATGTTAAATGTTACCTCTAATTTTACTATTTTACATAAGATGCTGTACAATTGTGCTTCCATTTGGGAGACAGCAGAATTTAGCCCTTTGTAACCTCTAGGGATGGTTTCAGGTGTTCTACATAGGAGAGGTTTAGGGACAGCTAGATATTAAAAGGAGTTGCCTTAAAGCTTGTGTTTGCATTAAAAAATCTGCTGTTTACAGTTAAATTAAGTTAAAAATAGCATCAGTCTGAAGACTTTAGATTCTTCTTTTAATTTTTTGGATTATTATGTTCATGGGTGAGGATGGGGATTGTGGAGTGCTGATGGCTACATCCTAGCAGCCCTTCCCTCAACCCCTGACATAGTTGCTGATGGTGTCCCATAAAGGTTTGTGAATACGTTAAAGATGTCCCATCTCTGAAGTACAAGGCATTTTGTCCCTATTACATTTTACCTGCATCATGTCATCCCTTGACTGTGTCACAGAAGAGCTGAGGACTGAAATTCTATATAAATGATCAGTTCACTGTAGCTGGTATTCACAGCAAACAGTACATGGTTTTGAACAGATTTTTCTCCAATAGTCCTCTAGAAAATCTCTCTTGGTTGGGGCCAGGGTAGATGACTAATGAGGAGGACTTGAGAAGTGCTAAAATAAATGAAGGATGTGTAGGATATTTACTTTTTAAAAATAAATTTCCAGAAGTCTCTATTTGGACAATAACGTGACTGCACCTAGCACATGAACCATGCTCCGAGCCTGGGTCTTCCCTAGTTTTCTCAGTGTTGTACAAAGCAAGACAGTTAATTCACATATAACATTACAACATATTTGATGAAGACATTATCCTCTATAAAAGTACACTGTATGGAAGCTACCAGGGTGTAGCCCTTCCAGGGAATGCTTAGAGGGATGTGTGCACAGCTTTTCACAGCTGCTCCAATCCAGCTCTACTTAAGCACCTGTTGTACAGCCACCTTTTGGTTTTGGTGCAGGTATTTGTTTTCCAACTGAGTCTACATATTGGTTTTGTAAAAGGAAAAGAATATATATATATATATAAATAATATGTATATATACACATACATACATATATACACATACATATATATATTTGCATACATAGGTACATTTATTATGGTTAAGCATCAAATTTTGCAAACATTTCTCCCCCCACAAGCCTCATTTCAAGGGTATTTATTTATGACATGGAAATATTCAGCTTAAACTGCCCATGACTTTACAGCTCAAAGAAAATAACTGAATAAATTGGACCACTGAATTTCAAATCGGATCATAGAACTTACAAATATTTGCAAAGGATGAACTTTCACAATAATGCTCCAGAGCAATGGATTCCTAGAGAAAGTGAAGCAGCTTCTTAGTGGCTGTGAAGTTCTGATTTTCACTGTGTCAACCTTTAGATTTTCTTGCTTTCAATTCTTGCTTCTTCTGAAAGTTTATAAATTTTAGTAATATTAAAGGAAGGCTATAATTTTAGAAATTGAAGTTAAAGAATGGGAAACCATGTAGCATTATGCCTGCTGGGCTTGAGATGAGCATTTTAAGGATAATTTGAAGTATGATGATATTGTGTGTATTTATATATATATATATATATCTGTAACTCTATATATCTATCATCTATCTATTGCCTATTATTGTAATCTAGTCTATTTCAATGGTGTGCTGAAGCTGGTTCATACTGATTCACGGGACCTGACAGATAATTTTCAGGAGTTTTGTAAGCTGGTTAGGATTATATTGGTAGCTTGAAAATGGCCATGGCAAGACTATTTAGGCCATGGAAATTGGTAAATGACACAAATCAGGGAATTTTTTTCCTCCTGGAGAGCCAGTTGTTGAATAATTTACCAATATACCTTTCTAAGTTTGGTCTGGAAAGGGACTTCATACATATTTCAGTTCACAATGGAAGAAATAATCAATTTTGTAAAATACCAAAGTTAATAAAAAGTTTCTGGCATAAACTTATAGTTTTAAAAAGCACACACTTTTCTTCTTAAGTACTTTAGAATAAAATTATAGAGGCTAATATATTTCTTACTCATTGACTATGTTTTAGAACATGTGTACTGCTGACTTATTATTTTAATAAACCTCCACATTTACATCTTTTAGATAGTTGCAGAAGTGTACATTAAAGTTAAATATTTATGAAAATGGAAACTATATGCAAAGTGGATGAATCAAACTTTCCTTGCTGGTATAACTTTTGTGTTTATTTTTTGTCCTTTTTGTGAAACCCTGTCATTTGGTATTATCGAGATATTTTGTATTTGATTTGTGTTTGAGCATTTATGTGGGTGTGTGTACATGTGTGTTTACACACACACAGATGCTCACACACATACACACATGAATCTCAACAAGTTACAGTATTAAGGAAGATGAATATCTGGTTCACTAAAGTCTATTTAAAAGCTGGGAATGACTGATGTTAAAAACTGTGCCAGGATTATAAGGAGCTATTTGATCTTGCCCAGTGGTTCTTTCTGTTTTTTCTAAAAAGTTCAAAATGACATTGTTTCCATCTTTTCTCTCTGGGTTAACACCATATTTACGGTTAACACCATAAAATGTGCACACTCCTGGTTCAGTGAATTCTTGGCTGAGCAGTCATAGAGGGCAAGTGTGAATTTAAGTTTATCTGTTAGATTTATTTCTAAGAATGTGCTGAGATTGGAGCAGAGCTGCTGAACAGGCTGTGCACAGGAGTTGTATAGCATGGTGACTCTGAATAAGAAAGACCTGAGTTTTATTGGGTAAAGAAAGAATAGGTGGAAAGAATGATTTCGGAACCTGGAGATAGGTAGTGGGAATGAAGGAAATTCCAAGTGGGCTTTTCTCATCAATTACAGGCCAGCAGGAAGATATCGAACCTCTGGAAAGATTGAGCCTTTCTTCTGGCACTGTTGACCTTGGCACTCCCCAGGTGCATGGCTTTGATTGACAGGATCTTAGATGTAGACATGGAGCGCCACGAGGTAGGCTGACTCTGAGTTTTCAGATAATTCCTTGGAAATTAGTTAAAAAAATTAAATCTATGCATTTAATTTCTCCTCCATTTGATGCTTTTTGAGAAAAGTAGAGTCCAGGACTTTCTGGATAAGGTGCTGGACAGATGTGGTCTTGTGATGGTCAGCCAGGTGGAGAGATAGAGTTGTTGCAGAAGAATCAGCTAATTTTACAGCAGTAGTTCATACATGCAGCTACGATACATTCATTCATTGTGATTTTCCTAAGCAACAAGCAACCTAGGAGCTTATGCTACAGTAGAGTCCAAGGCACCATGATGATTACTTCAGGAACAAAGAAGCTCATACAGAGGTGTGATCTCTTTCTGTTGGTGCGAAGTTTCAAAGCTAAAGTTCTTTAAAATTCATTTCTGGAGTTCAATTTAAATATTGTATGCCACACTAAGAAAAAAGCAGTGTCTTCTTGGTAAAATGCAATACTGAAATGGAATACTGTCTTTCATAAAAATAAGAAATGTGTTTGGAAAATTAAATACCTTAAAAAATGAAAAATAAACATACTCTCACAGCTTGAGGGTTTAAATGAACCATGTACCAGGAGTTGAGAAAACTCCTACTTTGGGTTACATCCTGAGGCCCCTAATGTTCAAAAGTTGCCCAGCAAAGATGACTTCAGCATTTCCGTGGCATTTGCCTAAGCTGCCATGTTCTGTTCAGAAGCCATCTTAGCATATTCCACACACAACATGGCTTTTCATGACAAATCGCTGGTATGTCACACAAAATTGCTGTGAAGTGTTGTTTTCAGCATGAAGTTTTGAGTTTTAGGGCTCAATATCAAAATGAAGCATGTTCTGTGAAAGCTTAAATTAATCCATTCAGTGCACTGCCTTTAATCAAGTCTCTCTTGGTTTTCCTTTAGCTTGAAGTTTCCAAGCACTTTGGAAAGAAAACTTTCCAAGTACAGAACCCAACACAAAGATGCTGAATGTATTCTCTGTGACTTAATTATATTTTTAGTCTATATTTTATATATACTCTACCCAGGAAAAATTTCTCATTTGAAAAGGGGAAGTTATCTTTTTTCAGTTACCTCTTTTCTTGTAATTTACAAATGTTCACTATCATGCTGCATGTGGATATTCATCAGGAATCAGTGGAAAAAGCTTAATTTATCAATGATCATAAAAATCTTTTTATGCATTCCTTAAATACTCTGAATGCTGATTGAATATACAACATGTTTGTACAGGTTATTCTTCATCTTCAAAACACTGTGTAATTGTACTTAAATAATACACATGTGTAATTATTTAAAAATACTTTTCATCATTTTATAAAATATATCTTTATGGTATTGTTTTTGGATCTTCTTCACCTGTCACCTTCCAAGTGATTACTCCCTGATGGATTACATAAAGTTATGTGACTATGTCTTTGATTGTATCAATATATTTCTTGTCACATATTTGAGGCAAACCTGAGGATAGATCATTGAATAATTATTATTATTTTTCTCCTGTAAAATATGTCATTTCTCCATTTTCTTCTTTAGTGGTCTTTTGAAGAATCCAATCTGTTGAGAAAATATCAAACGTAATATAAATTAATTATTTGACTTTAAGTAATAAATACTAGTCTCCTTGGATAAAATTTAAATTAATACTATGTTAGTGATTTGGGGCATACAAATAATTAATAATACAAATACTTAATATAATTGAGAAGTTTATTTCCATTGACTGCTAAGTAATATTGAATGTGAAGAAATGACATTTATTAAGTTGTTTTTTCATTTTAAACTTTTTTTGTTGGTTAAATATATCATGCTCCCAGTAAGAACTAGTACCTGTGGTGAATTAACTTATAAAGGTTTTGGGAAAATATTTGGGAAGACATACAAACTACAGTTAGCTGGCACTAAATGGCACTTTGCTATCATCTTTTTTTTCAGGGATGTGGCAGAGAAATTCTAACAAATAACTGGTGCTCATAAACTGAGGTCATTAGAACTCATGGGGAATCTGGTACATGCATTATGGCTGAGAGGTTAGGGAGATACGAATTGTCTGGATTAACTTTAAATGTTCAGGACATCTATCTTTATAGATGTGACAGGAAATACCTCTTGAAAACATGCTGGATCGTTTGGATATAAGAAACATATTTCTGAACATACAAGAAATTTCACATAGGGGTGAATATGGGTAACTTTTCATTGTACTTTGTAATTTGGGGCATTATAAAAATTATAACTGTTTTATTTATTTCCTTTTGTACATTAAAATAAAAGTAAGTATAGGGTCTGAAAGGGGCCTTTGTAATAATCTAATGCAAAATGTGGGTATTAATTTTTTTTAAGTTTATTTATTTTCAGAGAGAGCTAGTGAGCATGAGTGGATGAGGAGCAGGGAGAGAGGGAGAGAGAGAATTCCAAGCAGACTCCCCACTGTCAACACAGAGCCCAATGCAGGGCTCAATCCCATGAACTGTGAGTTCATGACCAGAGCAGAAATCGAGTTGGATGCTTAACCGACTGAGCCATCCAGGCATCCCACACATAGACATTTTAAATAAAAGGAGATTGAGGGTCTTTTTAAAAAAAAAAAATTCAGGGGCGCCTGGGTGGCTTAGTCGGTTGAGCATCCGACTTTCGCTTGGGTCATGATCTCGCGGTTCGTGGGTTCGAGCCCCGCGTCGGGCTCTGTGCTGACAGCCAGCTCAGAGCCTGGAGCCTGTTTCAGATTCTGTGTCTCCCTCTCTCTCTGACCCTCCCCTGCTCACGCTGTCTCTCTCTCCTAGAAATAAATAAAAACACTGGAAAAAATTAAAAAAAAAATTTCAGAGTAGATTATTAATAGTTCAAGCAGACAATAAGTTAGTTCTTTGAAAGTGTGGTACCTTCGTATTATTTTAGTCAAGAAGTTATGGTGAATCATGCAAGGGAATGATATGCTAAAAAATAATTATTGAATAATTGAGGGCTTACAAGGGATACATGGTCAAAAATATGCATTTTTAAGTGGGAGAAGTTAACTTCTTTATGTTTTCCATCATGCCAGAATCTAGTTGGTGGAAGATGAGGCAAAGACAACAGAGCAAATAAACATGAAAAAAACAATGAATCTGTCCCTCTTCTAACAGCAGTTCTACATGTCTTGGGTTTTTTTCTTTGAGCCAATACTAAAAGTACTGGATTCAAAAATCATCAGGCCCCTTAACTGCATGTCCTGAGTCAAAAATAAATCAGATGAGGCTTTCACAGACACAGGTGGTGAATTGTAAGACTTTTCTTTCACCTGCTCTGCCCTGTTCTCGATCTCCTGCCTTCCACTCTCAAGTCTTCTTGCATCTTTCCAACTTTCCTTTGCTTTCACACACTAAATGCTCTGTTTTAAAACTTAATTGTGTTATCTGAACTTTCTCACCCAACTAATTCTACTAACTTGGGTCTTTAGTGGAAGTTGGGTCATAGGAGTGGAGACTAGGTGAATATAGAACATAGTTTCAAACTGATGAAGACCAATACTAACCAAGATTAAAAACAAGTTAAGTTTGTTTTCAGTGCCCAGACCTAACAACTTTCACTTTCTTTCTTTGTCTTTTCATATTTACTTATCAGTAAGTGCTAGATCTTATTTATGCTTCCCTAGTTCAAAACCCTATGGCAAAGGGTCAGATTAAACAGTACCTGGTAGAAAGTACGTGCTTACTGACTATAACATAGAATAAATGTTGAATGAATAAATTGATACTAATACAGAAAAAACTAAAAAATTGTAGTGCTATTTCCCATCATCCACCAAAGATAGGCCTAGTGGATGAGGAACAAAGCTTTAGGATTTGTAAATAAATCATCACTGATGGAACCTCAGGCATTGCTATGAAATCAAATTAAGAGAGAGAAATGTTCTGCTTTTTCAAGCTTCCTCCATGGGCTGAGTCTCCTTTCATTCCATTGGTTATATTGGCTGGACTGATCTTCCCCCTCAATATGTCCTACCATATTCCAGGGATTGTTTCTCAATCTATTTAGATCTGTGCCCCCTACAAGCCTTCTCTCTTCAATATTAAGTAAATTAAGCTGTTAATAAGATTTTGTCAAACTTCAATTTCTGTCATGGGTTCAGGGGTAAATTATATAAAGACTGTGCCTTTTGAAATAAATTCACAGCTCCAGTAAGAATCTTTGGCCTGTCTTCTGTATGGAGCCAGGAAGTTCCCATGAACTTCCAGAGTGCTCAGATTTGGAAGGAGGAGAAAGAAGGGATAGTCCTGAGGTTTCTGCTCCCGGTATAATTAGTATAAAACGATCCCTGGGAATGACAGTAGCTTTTCTGAGCCTACTACATACCAAATACACGCTTCAGGGATGTTCAACATGGCATTAAAGCAGGGGGAGGGGCACTTAATCTTTTTCATATAATGGACCAGCTGAAAGACTGAATCAAACTAGGGACTCTCATTCTAAAACAAAATACTTTTATACATTTCAGAGAATTCATGACTCTCTGGAACAAAACCCAATTCCTGGAGCTCCGCGATGAAGAGCCCTGCCCCATAGCCTGCAGCAGTGGGAAATACTGGAAAAAGGATGGGCGTTGCTGATAGATTATTGCTTGAATTAAACCCCTTAGTAGCTGGTAATCTTGGGAGAGTTACTTAACTTTTCTTTGCTTCAATGTTATCAAGTATAAAATGTAGTTAAAGTACTGAGTTGAAAAGGTTTAAGGACAACAGAGTGAACAAAAGAAAGAGAGAACACAGAGCAAAGGGCTTATAGTGTTGGCAATGAAGTGAAATGGTCTAGGTTGAGGTCCTTACTCTGAGCCCGATAAACGATGTGGCCTCGGGGAACATATATATACCTTAGCTTCCTCATTAACAAAATGAGGTTCACAGTAGTGTCTTTCTCAGAGGATTGATGTTAATATTACAGTGGAAAAGCTAAAACAGTTCCTGGCATGCAGAAAGCACTCAGGAAGTCCTAATTCCCTTTTTCTGTGGAGTCACAGTTCTGATTGAGGCATCTGCCACTTAAGTGGTTGAACTAAATGTACCTACTGCTTAGAGCAGTGCAAAGGTTGCTAAATTACCTTCCTTCCTGGGGCTAAAAAGATCTAAGAATGTATCAAAAAAACATCATTGACTGGATGTGTTTATTTTTACCTTTATATTCAGACTGGTGACCAAAAGAAACAAGTAGATAAAACATATTTGTTTTAAGCAGACATATGCCACCAGAGAAAACCTATCCAAATATCAGCTCTGGCTTTCCTTTTCTCTTATCAGCCATGCCCTAAATCTATACAGGCAAGTGCAGTGCTCAGAACAGATCACACGGGAAGAAATCAACAACAAAACCCTCTCTGAAACAGAGGTGTATATAAATGAAGAAACCACATTCTAGGTTTCAGGCACAACCGCAGCACCACTAAGCCAGGTCTTGGGTACCACAGTGTGGCAAAGCCAGGTATTGCAGAGCACTGGTAACCCCTGAGAGCCGGAGGTTTGAGAAAGCAAAGAATTAATTCTGTCTCAGAGACTTTGCTGGAAATGCTACTGATCTACATCTTTAACATGGCTTTGTTTATCATCTTCTCTAAGTGTAAACCCACCCCCCAAAAGAGGAAGTTATTTTAAGAGTCGAAAAAGATACGAACATTTGGCAATTTGGTAGGACAGAAATTTATTATTAGAACTATTTGATTAAAAGAGAATTCTACTGCTCAGGTATTAGAAAAAGTAATATGTAGCCACAACCTGCATTTTTAACACAGTTTAGCTATTTAATAGAACAATTTGGTAAAATATAGGATGATACTATGTTAGAATAAATACCAATTTTATGTTTAATTGGAAGAACATTAAATTCAACTTGCCTGTGGGCTTTTATTCTCTATTAAATTTATTGTAAATGCTATCATCTCAGTTCTGCTTAATTTCATTTAACTTAATTTAATTATCTTTTTAAAAGTTTATTTATTTCTTTTGAGAGAGACAGATCACATGCAGGGAAGGGGCAGAGGGAGAGTAACAGAGAATCCAAATCAGGTTCTGTGTTGACAGCTGAACCCGGGAACCGTGAGATCATAACCTGAGACGAAGTCAAACGTTTAATCGACTGAGCCACCCAGATGCCCCTCAGTTCTGTTTAATTTTAAAATGATGTAGCTAAGAGTTTGAAAAATCTCACATACTTCAGTATAAGCAAACATCTATGTAAATCTATGGATTTACCCAACAGAAATAGTTTCACAAGAGGATAAGAAGTAGGAGTCAGTGAAACAGTAATCTTTCTGTTTCCATCAACTAATTAATAAATTTCTCATCTCTCACTCATGCACACTATTGCATAAAATATGCTATATTTCTTTATATAGAAAAGGAATCTTAGTTTTTAAGATACATAGAGATAAGTGATTAGGATAAGGTTCATCTTAACCATTCTATTGCTTATATTTTCTTAAACTGATAAGGAATTCATTTTTTAATAAAAGAGAGTTTTCATTTTCCTTTCCTTATAAAAGTAATGTATACTTAATTTATAATCTCAATGTTGTAGACATATAAAAGTCCCTTATAATCCCAACCTCTAGAGAGATTCATTATGTTTTTTGGATTTGTTTATTTTTTTTTTCTTGTACAAAACTGGGATTAAGTTGTGCACAATGTTTGAGAGATACATTTTTAAAAAAATTTTATCTTGGTCCCATCATTTCAATATTTTTCTTTCCATTTTATTTTAGAGAGATAGAGATAGACAGCACTAGTGAGGAGAGGGGCAGAGAAGTAGAGAGAGAAAGAATCTCAAGCAGGCTCCAGGCTCTACGCGGAGCCCAATGCAGGGCTCTGTTCCATGACCCTGGGATTATGAACTGAGCCGAAATCAAAAGTTGGATACTCAACTGACTGAGCCACTCAGATGTCCCTCAATATTTTTAATGGCTGTATAATATTGTATTACACAGCTTGGATAACTAATAATTTATTTCACCAATTTGCTATTGATAGTTGAAATAGAAAATCAAAGGAACTTTGGTGCTTACCTTCCACAGTGCTAATATGAGCAGCATTAATAGCAACAATCCAGCAAAAGCACTCAATAGGATGACCCATAACGGCACTCTGCCTGGCAGTCCATCTTTGGATATTTGAATAGCAAACTGAAAATTATTAAACAAGTCTGTTAACATTGATAAACACCTATTATAACTCCTGGTACATTAAGTTCTTACAGGCTATAATATTCTACCCAATGATGTAATTAATCTGATTACTACATTTAAAAATGCCCTTTTTCTCTTCAAAATCTAAATCAAGTCAAATTTAATCATGTCAAATTTATTGTTCCAAAAGTATTTATAATCTTATGCTTTAGAAATGTATATGTAAAGAGTAAACTGCCTATGAATTGGAATGTTCAGGAGGAGAGGTGAATTTAACTCGTGAGAACAATAAGTATTATACATGTTAAAGATTCATTGATCGACTTTAGCATATGATCATAGTCATAAAAATTTAGGCTGGAATGTCACCACAGGTTATTGACATAAAAACCTGAGTAGGTCTTCTTCTAATTCTAATTTTAGTGTGCTTTATTTTTTGTCTACAAATTTATAATTTTCATATAGTAAAATGCACAAAGCTAAGTGTACAGATAAATTAATTTCTGCACATATATTCACCCCCTTGTACCTTTTATTATACCACACTGTCTCTTCCAGTTGACTTATCTTTTGTCAATATCTATAAATCAGGTCTTCTTTTATTTTTAATTTTATTTTTTTCTGTTTATTTTTGAGAAAGAGCATGAGGGTAAGAGTGAGAGAGAGACATGAGAGCGAGAGGGAGAGAGCACCAGCAGGGGAGAAGCAGGGAGAGAGGGAGACACAGAATCTGAAGCAGACTCCAGCTCTGAGCTGTCTGCACAGAGCCTGGCACAGGGCTTGAACCCGGGAACCTTGTGAGATCATGACTTGAGTTGAAGTCTGAAGGCACCCCAATATAAATCAAGTCTTAATTGAAGGAAAATTTGGAAGTAAACAGCTTTTAGTGTTCCAGCTACTCAATGTGGCTGTCAAACGCCTATGAAACTTATTCACCCTGTGTCTCATCCCTAGGTTTCAGAGGAAAAAAACCTAAGTCACAGTAGGTGGCAATGACTAATAACAGCTCAAGTTTCTGTATTTGGTTGTCACAAGGAATGTCTCAATTCCTTAAGCTACAGGGAGGACTGGAGGTAAAAAGAACAAACTAATGGGCATAATATTTATATATTTTGGAGACTCCTCAGATGGCTCCCTGTGGGTCACTGCTGACACCTGGGGAGTACTGAGCTGCACGAGTATACATATGTACAGGATAAGACTGTTTGAGACAGGGGCGCCTGGGTGGCTTAGTCGGTTAAGCATCCGACTTTCGCTTAGGTCATGATCTCGCGGTTCATGGGTTCGAGCCCCGCGTCGGGCTCTGTGCTGACTGCCGGCTCAAAGCCTGGAGCCTGTTTCGGTCTGTGACTCCCTCTCTCTCTGACCCTCCCTTGCTCACGCTGTCTCTCTCTCTCCCCTAGAAATAAATAAAAAATATTAAAAAAAAAAAAGACTGTTTGAGACAGATTTTAAATACATCTAAAACAACTCCCTGAACTTACAAATACAGAAGCTGAAATCTAGATGTCGGGACCAGTGACTTCTCTAAGATCACACAATTACAAAATGATCATTTTGGAATTTTAACAATGCCAGTATAATTTTCCTTTAGGATGAGCTGTTGAATAAAGGGAATTTTAAACTAACACTTAGGGGAAATAAAACTAATTATAAAATTGTAACAAAATATATCTAGGAATCAAATGCACTCTTTTCTAATATAGTATATATATATACTCATTTTTTGGGGGAGTGCTTACTGGTAAAATTTTGGCTTCCCTACATATGGAGCAACTCTGCATTTATCAGTGCTCTTTATTTTATTTATTTAAAAAATTGTTTTTAATGTTTATTCATTTTTTTGAGAGAGAGAGAGAAAGGGAGAGAGAGAGAGTAGGGAAGGGGCAGATAGAGAGGGAGACACAGATTCTGAAGCAGACGCCAGGCTCTGAGCTGTCAGTACAGAGCCTGATGTGGGGCTTGAACTTGTGAACCGTGAGATCATGACCTGAGCCAAAGTCAGACACTTAACCTACTGAGCCACCCAGATGCCCCCTATCAGTGCTCTTTATAATGTAAGTGAACATTATATGTGTATGCTGTATGCCTTATATGCGTATATTCTTTAAAGGTGAATACTTACCAGAAGTCATTGACAATTGGAATTATTTGAAATATGTATTAATTTCAAATAATAGTTTTTAAAAAAATGTTTATTTATTTTTGAGAGAGAGAGTGAGTGAGTGAGCAGGGGAGGGGCAGAGAGACAGGGAGAGAGAGAATCCCAAGCAGGATCCCATATTCAGTGTGGAGGCTAGTGTGGGGCTTGATCCTACGTCCCATGGTGAGATTATGACCTGAGCTGAAACCAAAAGTTGGACTATTAACTAACTGACTGAGCTACCCAGGCACCCCTGAAATAAGAAATTTTTAAATAACATCTGAATGTTAGGTAGCTTTAAAATAAAATGTTATGAGTCATACTATCCACATGGGATATTTAAACTCTTCCATGATAAGAAGAGAAATTATGCTTACGTATCCACATCTATAATAAGTACTCTGCCCTTATTTTATTATAATATAGTAGGAAGAAACTCAAACCATTTTATTTTTACCAAAGACTAATGTGTGAAATTGCATGAGGGAATATCTCAATTTTGCTTCAGGCTTCCTAATGATGGAATGAAGAAAACCTTTAAAAATTTACATTTATTTCCATACACTGTACAGTTACTTTCTGTGAAGCGTTTTCCAAGTTCTTCAGATGTCAATTGCACTTTATAATGTTGGTTTTAAGGAGGAAAATTAGAACTGCATCATTTGTTGTCAAGATGAAAATAAAAACATCAATTTAATGTGATAGCTACTTACAAGCAGTAAAGTCAAGTGTGGCATGTTGATTGTAAATATCATGGCTTTTGCCCAGTTTCCTACAAAGACTGAAATCACACTTGAAGCTAATTAGATATAATTCGTAGCAAAAACTGTCTGCTACTTAGGACTAGTCACTGCTTCAGGGACTATACGCAATTATAAAACATCATGTCACAAAATCCACAGTGAAATGTACAAGGTTTTCAAAACATATAGGAGTTGTACTTACCTCTCTTTTTTGATTGCCAGTACTTAAAGTCAGTAATGTATTTTCACTCTGAAGGTCTGCCCTTACAGTAAGATTTAAGCTGGAAAAACGAGCCTGAAGAGCAAACAGGATTTATTTTTAATATATTAGGCTAATCACAGTGAGAGCTAGTCATGTTTGAGTTAGTGCAATTTTTATAATTGAATTTTCCTGCGAGACTAAAAAACACTGGTTTTGTTAACATCTGAAAGGGCCTGGTGGTTTCAAATGATCTCCCTCCCTCCTGTCTGCACTCAAATTGTCACTTAGGTTCTTGTTATAGAATGAAAAATTTTTGAAATCCTTTTCTTCAGATTTATCCTTAGCAAAACCAAATCTCAAACCATGCCCCCCTTTCATGTAGCTAACTAGGTGTAAAACAGCTACACCCTGGTAATGAAATTTATATAGAAGCTTTTTAGGATTAAATGTGAAATTGCCAATACCCAACAGTTTGTGACTTCCAAAAATAGCAACTTAATATGGTTGAACCCAAAAATAGAAATTTCATATAATTCACCACTTCTAAGAGAGGAACAAATCACACAAAATACAATGGATTAAGTTTTGTAGCTTGTTGCCAGACAGATTTGACTATCAGGAGCCAAAACATGTCCTCTTATTATATATATATATATATATATATATATATATATACACACACATATATATAATATAATATATATGTAAATAAATAAATTAATATATAAATATAATATATGTAAATAAATATATATATATTTATATTAAATTTATATATATTAAATAAATGTATGAGTAAATATAAAATAAATATATATGCAAATACATGTATATATAGTACATATAAGTGTACTATATATATGTGTGTAAATACATATATATATATGTGTGTGTGTATAGTCTGATCTAATACAATGAATCCATAACACATGTTAGTTCTATTTGTTAATGGTGTCAAGGATTGTCTCTCTATAATTCTTTGTCCCTTAACTGAGTTCTAAAGTATTAAGATAAATGCAAACTTTAATACTGCATAGGTATTTCTTTCCAGATGTGCAAAAAAAAAAAAAAAAGAATAAGAGAGACTGAGAAAAAAGTATATATCTGGAAGGTACTTTGGAGATAACTTAGTTGCTAACAGACAAGGAAAATGAGACCCAAATAGTTGGTTCAATAGAGCTGGAGCTTGGACCATTTTTTTTTTACTTTTCTAGTTCTTTCTACAGAAGCACTCTGCTTGCATACCCTAAGTAATGAACAAATATTTGTTAACATAATTCAATAATTGCAGAGAACAAGGCAATCACTTACTTTTATAAAAGTTGGTTTCCATAAGATAAGTGAAACATTCACTTGGCTCATGTCAGAAGGAATCAAATTACAAGTGATTGTAGCAAATTTACATGTACTGCAGTCCTGTTTAAATGTCCAGAGGTATACATTAGTATTTTTGCTATTTAATGAAAAGATACCATAGTAAAATATTCTAAAAGATAGTACTTTTTAGTTTGATATTGAATTTATTCACTTCAAAAGCATGAGATAAAAGTAGCACTTGTCTTGGTTTTCTGAATTTACCAGAATTGTGCCTCGTTTGAGATCTTCAGATTTTGTTATAATCATTTTCTTCCCAGAGTTGATACCAAGCGGATCCTGAAGGCTACTGGGTCTGCAGTTTGCATTCTAAGAAATGAAAATATTTCATTTATCAGACAATGCCAGAAGTCAGAGGAAAAAGTGACTTTGTACAATCATGTGAAGAATCTGTGAGTGACAGCCATTGTCATAGATGAAAGATCCATCTCTGTAAGTGTGCAACATGGAAAAGACTATTCTGTAGCAGCTGTATACACCCACATCGAGATAATAATTACCGTTAGTGTGCTACTTTTGAATTTTAATAGATATCACTGAGCTTGTTTCAGAAACGGAAGAATGTTAGTAGAAAGTATGATTGCATAGTAATATACTCATTAAATTTTTTTTCATGGGTGGCTCATTCAGTTGGGTGTCTGACCAGGTCATGATCTTGTGGTTTGTGGGTTTGAGCCCCAGCTGGGGCTTGGAGCCTGGAGCCTGCTTCAGATTCAGTGTTTCCCTGTCTCTCTGCTCTCTCGCACTCAAAAATAAGTAAACATTAGAAAAAATTTTTAAAAATTTATTATTTTCATCAAATATTAATTTGTAAATTCCTATAATACAGAGGGAGAAAAGAAATTAAAAACTCTACTGAAACAAAGAAGGGTTAGCATTTGTTATTCAATATGATGGCTTATATGATGGTTTGTGACACAAACAAAAAAAGAGAGGGACTTTTGTCTGTATTTCTGTATTCATCCAATAATATTCTGTGAGTCTTTAAACACCAAGGACAAGACACTTGGTCTATGTGGGAGAAAGATGTAAATAACCTATAAAGGTTAAAATGGCGGATTGATAAGACAGCTAGTGCTTGAATTGGTTTTCTAGACTTACTCTAATAAACCTTTTGCTCATCAAGACTCTACATCCTTGATAAAAGATAATAAGGATAACGGTTCATAAGTAATAGGGAAAGTACAATTTTAATCTTTCTACATGCTCACAAACCTGCTTTGTTTGGATTAGAGAGAAATAGTAGAGCTTTAATTTTTCCTTGCCTATAGGGAAACATTTAAATATTATAATCCAACTATGACTGTTGCTATTTTTTGATTTCTGAAAATATTTTAACTTAAAAAATGTTTGAAAAGAAGACAGATTGTCAATATTGTTGAAAATATGCATGTATTACTTCAATATTTATTGTGGTTATCTATGTCTTAGGGACTAAACCATAATAATTTACCACATTGACTCATTCAAAGCTACAGGCACAAGTGGGTGTGATATTGCTATTGTTTGATAAGTGAGTAAATAGTACTGTACTGTCTTATGTGCAGCTGTGTGTGTTCTTAGGAATCAGTTAAGAAGTCTCCTTATAAAGCTGTTTGATCACCTCAAACAAATTAAAGCTATAAGAAACATTTTAAGGCACAAGTCAACAAGTAGTTATCTAAAACCTACTCTAGTGGATTGGATAGTATTTCAAAAAGATATGCCCAAGCCCTAGCACCTGGAACCTGTGAATGTGATCTTATTTGGAAACAGGGTCCTTGCAGATGTAATTAAAGATCTCTAGAAGAGGTCTTTCTGATTTAGGATGGGCTCCAAGTCCACTGAGGAGTGTCTATAAGAGACAGAAGAGGTGAAGACACAGAAACACGAGGAAGACAGGCATGTGAGGACAGAGGCAGGGACTGCACTTAGGCCACCACAAGCTCAGGCATGCTCCGGGGTGACAGCAGCCACCAAAAGCTGGGAGAGAGGCATGAAACAGATTCTCTCTCTGAGCCTTCAGGGGGAACTAACATTGTTGACACCTTGATTTTAGATGCTGGCCTCCAGAACTGTGAGAGAATAAATTTCTGTTGTTTCTAGCCACCTAACTCAGGTAATTTGTTATCACAGCAGTTGTAGAAAATTAATATACCTACTAAGGAGCCAATGGAAGTCATTATTATTATGTAAAATTTTCTAAATGCTTCTCCATGTTACTTTGGTAAAGTTCTTTATCAAAAGTGTCATGCAGAGCAAAAGGATTTAAACACAAATTGAAAAGGATAACAATAATGATGTAATGGCAAGGCACACATGACTTACATTAGAAGATGACCATCCACTTGGGTATAGCACAGGATAACCATCTGATGTCAAGTTGGGAAATGAAATTGACAGCTTAAGTTCTGGCATTGGAAAATGTCCACTCTTTCTAATCTATAGGAAAAAAAAAATAGAAATGTAATCCTCTCTTCCTCTTCCAATAGCACTCTTTCTATATTATGCAGGACAACTGTTCTTAATTGATTAAGTTATGAAATACTTTGAATACAAAAGCGAATTCAGACAGTTGATGGCACTGGACAGAGAACTGACACAATTAAGCAAAAAATACAGATGTTCAATAGTGGCCATATGTATCAGCTACAAACATATATTGTTCCTTCATGCTCCCACTCCCAAAATGGGACTGGGATTAAGGAAAGTCAGAATTAAATTTTTTTGTCAATTTACCATACTCCCATCATCTTTATGGACATACTAGTTAGTGTTTTGGAAGTGAGAAGGAGAACATTTATTTACTTGATCCTCTTGGAACAAGAGAGCATATTTTGTTTGCTTCAACATGCTTGCCATAATTTCCTAAGCCCACAAATCATCTCTCAGCCCAGCTACATGGGGTCTCTCACCAAGGCACAGGCAAATCAGATATGCACCTGCTTCCCTGCACAACACTATCCACAGCTATGGCTACTAGGTCAATAACAATTAATAATCTGGTTGGATGAGAGTCACATTGCCTCTCCTCTCAATGCCCATGTTTTTATCCATTAAACTGAAATTCAAACTTACTACCACATCATGCCACCAATGGTGAGTGTAGCTCATAGGGAAGGAAAGCTGAGCAGGATGAGGTTTAGCAGGAAGCTGAATTTATTGTTAAAAAGTCCTCACAAGTAGAAGAGGTGCAATTGAACTGGAGCAACCAGGTGCTCTGGCCCTCTCTTCTTCCACTCAAGCATAATCTCCAGGACCTATACCTTCTTCAGAGCCTCTCTGGGCCAAATCCTTAGGGGACTAGGGAGCTTCTTAATCTATAGATGCCAGGAAATACAACTGATCTACCTAACTGAACCTTCTGGACCAAGAGCTACACAGATCCGAAGCAATTCCCTGTTGTTGCCAAATCTAAATGCATCCCTTACTCTTGGAATTCTAGAAATTCCTCACCAGCAGTGCCTGGCCTCTTAACCATGCTCCTTGACACTTGCATTCTTATTGTAATATTCCCTAAACTTCCCTGCCATGGCCTTTCAGTCTAATTCCATCTGTTTTCTTCCAAAAAGTAAAAAAATCACATAATTTGTAATTAACATTCACTGTCTGATTAAAAACAAAGTTCTTTACAGAAATATTAGAAAATACTGAAAATAAATGGGAAATTCCCTACAATTCTACTACATTGGTGACATTTTAGTGTATAACTTACCTGTCTATCATTTGCATTTATGCATATATTATAAAATTTGTATCATATAAAATACAAAATTTGGCATCCCACTTGTAAAATGTATTAGCATGGCATTTTCCTATAAACTTAAAGATTATTTAAGAATATGACTTTTATTAGCCACTTAATAATAACCACAATATCAATATTTATTTATGTTCAACATGTATTTATATTCCAGGCACTGCTTGCATTATTATTGCCTTTAACCTTATAACAGCCCTATGAGGTAGATTCTCTAATTATCCCTATTTTACCATGAGGAAACAGGTTAGAATGAGAATAAAGAACTTCCAAGATCACAGAATTTGTAAATAACAGAATTAAGATTTTTTTTTTAACCTAAAATGTGTCCTCTGTAGGGCTCCTGGGTGGCTCAGTTGGTTGAGCATCTGACTCCTGATTTCAGGTCAGGTCATGATCCCAGGGTCCTGGGATGGCACCCTGTGTTGGGTGTGGAGCCTATTAACATTCTCTCCCTCTCCCTCTATCTCCCTCTCTCTCTCTCTCTCTTTACCTCTTTCCCCTGCTTATGTGCTCTCTCTCTCTCTAAAAAATAAAATAAAATAAAATAAAATAAAATAAAATGTGCCCTCTGAACTATTACAATAGCTGTCTCTCCATTGAAATACTATATGATAATTTATTTAAGCAATTTCATGTGGTTAAGTTTTTAGATTGTGCCCAGGTTTCAATTTTTAAACTGCTATAAATGACACTGAGCAGAGTCTTTCCCAGTGGTGCCTGGCTGGTTTACTCAGAAGAGCATATGACTCCTGATCTTGGAGTTGTGAGCTTGAGCTGCATGCTGGGTATAGACATTACTTAAAAATAAATAAGCTAAAAAAAAGAGTATCTCTGAGAATAAATCTTTGTATCACCAATAATTTCCTATAGTAAATTTCCAGCAGCAAATTTACTGGTTCTCACCTAAGAAAATGTTCACATTATTTTTTATTCCATTACATTACTCCAATTTTAGATTTTATCCCAACAAAGTAATTAGACATACAAAAAACTATGTTCAGGGATATTCTTAACAATGTTATTTCTATCAATATTATTTACAATAGTTTGAGAGTATGTGTTTCAAGTTTGGACACTTACTTATTAAAGTAACAACATAGGTACTAGTGGGGATGAGCACTGGGTGTTATGTGGAAACTAATTAGACAATAAACTATTTGTAAAAAAAAAAAAATAAAGTAACAACATAGGAAGATCTATAATATTCACAATTCCTCTGTTCCTTCTCACCTTCCTTGTATTTTGCTGAATTCTTTAATGTGGGAAAAGCAAATGGAGCTAGAAGAACTTGGCAGCCTAAATTTCAAAGGTTTATCTCAGTAATGAAGTGACTGGCATTCATGCTAATTTCCAGAGTACGGCTTGTCATAGGAATTTCAGCCAAGAGCACAGATAAAAACAATGGAATGAATCTTGAGAGTATACATTTATTTCACTTTGTAAGAGAACTTCCTTTATTACTGGAAAGAGATTGAGACCATTTTCACCTATAATAATGCTGCATTACTCATACTTCTAAATATATATTTAAATTAATCATTTGAATTGGACCCTCTTTTACTTGAGTAATATACTTGAGTCTGGGTCTGTAAGTAGGCATTACCTAAAATGAAAGTCTGGCTCAATTCTATAATTGTTTACTATAGTTAGGAAAGTTCATTATGAAGACTTCAAAGAGAAAAATAAATGTGATAGAAAAACATCACTTAAGGATGTGATAGGAGGAACATAAGTCATAGTATGATACATAAGAAAGGTAGCAAAGAGTAGAAGGAGATACATATTTATTTGCTGAGTAAAGGAAAATATTACCAAGACATTTGAAGTAGTCAATTTCTGAAATAGTCATAATAATTTTTTTAAAGTGCTTTTCTCACTCACAGTAAAAAAAAAAAAAATGCAAATGAAGTTTACAGGTTTATAGGTAGTATCTCTTTGGTCTTTTAAGTTTATTTTTTCTAGTAAGTCGTCTAACTGTGTCTTAGGAGGAAATTAGATACTTAGGTTTTTTAAGCTGCTTCAAAGTATAATTATCAATAATTCTTTAAAAAAATTACTTCAAAATAGTGAAATTATAAAAAATATTCCAGAATATAGGGATTAACTATTGAATCAACAGGTTTATATGTGTCTGTTAATACTTTAATTTATAAACTTACAAATTAGTCCTTTACTATACTAATTTAGAGGTAATTTCTTACCAAGTAGAAGATATTAATTTCATTTCCAATGTCCTCAGTAGAATTAATAACTTCAGGGACTGTCTCATTGGCCGCAATTGAAATATGGTATTCACTTGCAGAGCTGAGAATTAATTGAGAGAAGAAAAATAAAACACAACAAAGTTTAACTTTTATTTGACCTAATTCTTTTTCTTTATTTATACTAGGTACTCCCACAAAAAGTACTTGTAGAAATTTCAAATCGGAGACAAATTCTTCTACTGTTCTATTCTTCTACTGTGAAACATAAAATTAAATCTTTGAGGAGGATAAGAAAGATTACATAATTTAGCTCAATAATTGCTGCTGTTTATTTAGCTTTAACAAGCTAAAATATATACAGTTTTTGAAATAAAAGTTTCATTGTTACCAAGCAAGTATAAGATATCTACTAATTCACTAATATCATTTACATTTAGTGAATAATGAGCTAAAACTTGGTATTTTTCATACTGCTGAATTTTAAATAGATTTAAAAAATTGTTAACCTTTTCACATTAAAGTCCCATATTACTGCCAAAGTTAAAAATTCAATCTTTTCCATACAATTTTTCCTCCATGTTCTTTGGATGAACTTGGTGGAATGAAGTATAATAAAAAATAATAGGTGTTTGCCAAAATTTGATTTTAATAAGATGAAAAATTCTTGGAAAAAGTCATTGTACCAAGAGAAGTGGATAACAGCAAGATAGAAAATAGCAAATAGAATTTGGAGGCTAGATAATATATACAAAATCTATGTGTATATCCTATAATCCTCATATTTTTGTTGTTTGTTATCGGAAAAAGCAAAGTGCCATAAAAAATAAATTAATAAAATGAGCAGACTTTCACCCTAAATTTGCCACTGATTCTTATACTCTTTGCATACATTGCACACATTTATTTAACAAGAGCTTGGAGCCTTGCTTAAGCCAGGGAAATTATAGTGGGCAACTTTGCCAATATGATTTGTGTTTGGATGGATCAGAAGTTCTTAGAGGAAAGTACATTTTGGAATAATGCAAGAAATAAACAGCTCTTGTCAATGAGAAATGATTTAATCTTGTGTGCCCAGAATGGGCAGGCTGATTAGATCCCTCACAATGAGAAAGATGATGGTCAAGAAATATGCTGGTACCCTCTAAGAAGAGTGCCATTTGTGAAGTATTTCTAGATCTTCAGCTAGCATTTATGATACAAGACTGGACTGCTAATGTAATCCAGGATCATTAGCACCTCACATTTAAGATTATTTAGCAGGCTTGGTCTCTGATTTAAGTGCATGAGAATTACCTGGAGGGCTTGTTTAACACAGATTTCTGATGCCTTTGGCCAGAGACTGTACTTTGAGAACCACTGGGTTTGTAGACTGGCATCAGCATAAAAATGCAGTTTCCTCCTACCTGTAAAATTGAAGTCCAACTTCATATTTTACTGGGATAGAAATGTTAACTTCATTATCAGAAAGGGCATCGGGAGGTTCTTCACTGTCACTAGAAAATACACAGCACGTTTAGACAAATCATTAAACTACTGGTGATTAAGAGACATTTCTGAGCATTTGAAAGGGAAGTTTATCTTGGCAACTAAATAAAAGCATAAAAGGGTAGAATTCTTTAAAAAAATTTTTTAATAATGTGTATTCATTTTTGAGAGATACGAAGAGACAGAGTGCAAGTGGGGGGTGGGCAGAGAGAGAGGGAGGCATAGAATCCAAAGCAGGCTCCAGGCTCTGAGCTGTCAGCACAGAGCCTAATGCCGGGCTTAAACTCACGATCTGCGAGATCATTACCTGAGCCCAAGCCGGAGCTCAACCGACTGAGCCACCCAGGCACCCCAAGGATAGAATTCTTGTTTCTGTTGTTGTTGTCATTTTTAAATCAGGGTGGGGAGGGAGATGGGTATTATTAAGTTTCTCAAGCTGATTCTGAACTGGAGGGTTGAAAACCATACCAATTTTGTCCAAGGTTTCCTCAACTTTTAGAAGGATTATGATAAATATCCTTGGGTCAATTGTTAAATATACAGATTAGTGGGCTTCTCTCCTTGAAATATAGATTTAGTAGGTCTGAGCTGGGGCCCAGGAATTTGTATTTTTAACACAAATCACACAGGTGAATCTTACCTATTCTTTACAGACAAGGACCTCGCAAAAAGGCTCAACCAGGGTCACATGGTGGAGAGTCAATATAAAATCTTTGGTTTTCTTGTTTTAATAGTCTTTCTGTGCTTATTGATTGATGTTTATGTTTTTGGTTAAGAATCTATTTATTCCCTTGATTTAAATTGTCATTTCAATTATGTATTATGTAAATGCATACATATGTTTATACATACATATGTGTATCTCATACTCCCCTATATTAAAAAAAGCACATGTGAGGTATGTAACTACCGACACTGGCTCTGGGGCCAGAGTGCATGGGATTGTTCTTGAACATTAACACACTTTGGGCAAACTATTTAATCTCTCTTTGCCCTGGTTTCTTAATCTATAAAAAGGGGATTTATCATTAAATGATAAATGATGATTATAGTAAGTGCAAAGTGCTAAACATTGTGCCTAGATGTAAGAAATAATGAGAGTTAGATTTCATTATTTTTTTCACATACCCCCTCTACTAAGTGACCTAGCATTTGGTCTCACAGGACATTTTAACGGCTCTACTATTCTCAAGTGTATTAAGTGGCTTTATGTGAGCTAAAGGACGGTAAAGGCAGCACCTTGCTTTGGGTCATAGATATTTTTGTGAACGGGCTTTTGCTGTTGATGATTTCCTCTTCTCCCACCTGTTCCCTGCTGTAGCTAAATTAATCTTCCTAAGACACAGCTCTGTATATATGACTTCACCCCTCAAAAACTCTTCTGGCTTCTTATGACTTGTTCAGTTAAGAAAAAATGCCTCATCCTGACATTTCAATCCATTTCCATCCATGTTACCATAACATGGTAAAATGAACACCTCCTGTTTATCTTCAGTTACTTCTTTACGTATTCTCCATGTGTGAGCTACAATGGACTATCTAGTATTCCACCAATAGATCCAGTGGTCCATCTTAAGTTTTTGCTCAAGTTATATATTTTGTCTAAAATACTCTACCTAATTCTATTTACCAGCCTCTCTGTGAATTGCTACCCACCCTGTAAGATCTTTCACAATTATAATCATTTTGATAAAGTTTTCTTGGGGTCTCATTGCCAAATAGATATAATTTCAACCTCTATTAAGTTTCTGACACATATCAGAATGAATTCTGAATGAATTACCCTATATTAATATTGTAATAGTTTATATACTAGTCTTAGCCCCCTACTGTAATTTTCACCCTATGAGGAGGTTCATGCCCTTATTAACTTTTATATTTCCTATAGTGACTAATTTAATACCTTGTCCATTGATGTCATATAAATATTTGTTGAGTTGAATTGAGCATACAGAATTCATTTACCCACTAATTTATTTTCTCACTTATTCATTCACTTTACTTTAATTCACTGCGAGGCATCATGCTAGTTACTGGGGAGTAAGACAACAAAGTTAGAACTTTATCTCTCAAGGTTATGGTCCAGTGGATGATTACACTTAGAAGAATATTAGCATACTATTTCAATTTCCTCATTAGCCTTTCATTTTTAGTCTGGGTATTCTATGATATCTTTCAGAAGCTCTGACTGCTTTGGATAAAATATATTAAACTACAAAATGATATCATAAAACTTTAAGTCCAGGTGTGCCTGGGTGGTTCAGTCGATTGAGTGTCTGATTCTCGATTTCGGTTCAGGTCATGATCTCATGGTTGTGGGATCAAGCCCTGTGTCAGCATGGAGGCTGCCTGGGATTTTCTCTCTCTCTCTCTCTCTGCCCCTCCTCCACTCACATGTTCTCTCTCAAAATAAATAAAATAAACTTAAAAATAGAAGAGAAATCTTTAAGGACATCTAGTGATTCAGGTGACCTTCATGGACTGTCAGTAAAAATTAAATCAGCAATCCTGTAAAATTTTAAATAAATTTTAATGCAATTTGGCAGATATAAGTGATGTGTGATTACATGTTTTACAGCTCAAAGAGCCAATGGTTTAATGTAGTTAGGTGTATTAATTCCATTAAATAAAAATTTCTTCATTTTTAATTATTCATAAGATATTTTTGTTACTGGTTCATTATCTTCTACTTTTACTGATCCTCATAAAAGTTGTAAGTTCCAGTGAATCTATAAAGTGAAATATTCTAAGTACATGAAAGAAATTATATACTTATAATAATACACTCATGCATACATATCAACCAACCTTGTTGCACTTAAATGAATGGTCACATTTTCCATGAGATAAGATGTGTTAAACTGAAATAATATTTTGAAAGTAACCTATGAAATAAAAATATTTTTTGTTTAGTAACAGATAAAGAAGTAGAATGTTTAGATTAAAATGTTTAATTACATTAATGATATTACTTAGACTCAAATTACAAACTTATTTAAGAAATCTTACCTTATAAAGTAAAACCTCATTATATCTCAAAAATAGAACAAGATATACATGTGCTTTTAAACTTTGATATTTAAAGCTCTTTTAACCAATTTAGGCTCATTCACAGGAGGGATGACTAGAATTCAGGTATCATGAGATTCGTATGGTTGTCCAATATTATGTGTGGAATTTTCTTCAGCGTTTTCTTCTCTCACATATATTTTGAGCTACATTAAAAAACATTTTTCTTAAGAATCTGTAGCCCTGCTGCTTTCTTCTTGCTTCAAAATAGCAATAATAATTCCAATAGAAGCTTTATTGGGTGGGCTTGAACTACAGTACTTTACCAAGGGTCAAACTTCCAGAGTCTTTCAGTGAGCTAGCTCCTTTCTTTCCCGGCTTTCCTTAGCCCCCTGCCTGGTGTGCACATATAAGTCTTGGCATTTCTAATGAGTCTTCAGAACTAGGGAAGATACTAGCAGAGGAGTAGGGCTAACGAAGGTGATTATTCCATTTTGGCCTGATCCTGAAATGCTTAAACTATGAATCTAGTATTGAAATCAAAGTATATTCTAAGTATAAAGCCCATGCAAAAGTTACTTGCATATTATCTTCCCATTTCTCTACTGATGGCATGAGATACTTTGATTTAAGCTTTTACCCTACACAGCAAGGAATTGCCAAAGAAAGAAAGAAACATGGTTGAGAAATAATTAAGATTGCAATTCATACTCTAAATGGCTGCAATGTTTAACATTTTTATTTCTATGTCATTATTCTTTAAGAAATGGAGATAATATTATGGTTAATTAAAATGGTCATGGGAAAGTGACATTCACTACTTCTATGTAAAATTGAAGGAATTATAGGTGTATTTTTTCAAATATGACATATGCTTGATGGATTTATAGGGAAGAAATGTAATTTCACAGTACATTTCATTTGGGATAGTGAAGAAATAGATTCCAAAAGTAAATTGGCACATCTAGTTAGCTTCATACCTAAACTGATTTATTGAATTCAGTGATAATTACTGTCATTGGTAGTGTCTTCAATTACTAGTAGCCATGCCACATGTGTTAAGGGAAAAGTCCTTTCTGAATTCTCATTTGCAAAAAGAAGCACTAAATAACTTCATTATATATATGCCATTTCCAGATGCCCAACTCATGTTTATCAACTTCTTAGGATGTGTGATAAAGATGACAAACATCTATTTTGAAGGCTTATAATATAAAATATTATAATGTGAGGAAGTTGGAATAAATATCTGGGAAAGTATTTCTCTCTTTTTTTTAAAGACTAAGTCAAGTAGGTAAAGTATTTTATTAATCACATTGACTAAATATTTCCCTCATTTACTCCATATGAATGGAAAAGCAACCTTCAATGAAAATATATGCAAATATGTTGTTTATCATTAAGTGAGATAATTATTCTGTTTTTCATGGAAACAAATATTGTCTTTAAAAATACATGAAAGTACTCTCCTCACTTCTGTTCAACTACTACTGTAGGTTCTAGCCAGGGTATTTAGGAAAGAAAAAGAAAAAAGAACGCTTCTATCTGTAGATGACATGATCTTATATATAGAATATCCTAATGAATCCTCTAAAGAACTATTAGAACTAATTAATAATTTCAGCAAGTTGTCAGGATAAAAGACCAGCATTCAAAAATCATTTTTATTTCTATACATTAGCAATAAACAATCTGAAGATAAATTTATGAGAAGAATTTCATCCAAAATAGCTTTAAAAAGAATAAAATGCTTAGAAATATATCTAACAAAGGAAATGCCAAACTTTTATTCTGAAAAAAAAAAAAAAAACCACCCAAAGCATTTTTTAATATAATTAAAGATCTAAATAAATAGAAAGACACCCCATGGTTATGGATCAAAGACTTAATATTTTTCAGATGGTAATACTTCCCAAATTGATCTGCAGATTCAGTGTAATCCCTATCAAACTCCTAGCTGGTCTTTTTTTGTAGAAAATGACAAGCTGACCCTAGATTCCAAATGAAAATACAGGGGGCTGGAAGAGCAAAACAATTTTAAAAAAGAAAACATATCTAAAAGACATATTTTCAGGTTTTAAAACTTGCAAAAAAGTTACTGTAATAAAAACAGTATGTACTAACAGGGGCGCTGGAGTGGGGTGGCTCAGTCAGTTAAGCTACTGACTCTTGATTTTGGTTCAGGTCATGATCTTATGGGCAGTTGTGAGATCCAGGCTCGCATTGGGCTATGTGCTGAGGATAAAGCCTGCTTAGGATTCTCTGTCTCCCTCTCTCTCTGCCCCTCTCCCACTCATGCACACATGCACATGCTCTCTCCCTCTCTCTCTCTCAGAATATATAAATAAACATTCAAAAACAAAACAAAATGGGACACGTGGGTGGCTCAGTCAGTTCAGCGTCTGACTCTTAATTTAGGCTCAGGTCAAGATCTCACGGTACTATGAATTTTAGCCCCACGTCAGGCTCCATGATGACAGCACAGAGCCTGCCTGGGATTCTCTCTCCCCCTCTCTGCCCCTCACCTGATGATGCTCTTTCACTCAGAATAAATAAAAATAAAAAAATAAAAACTAAACAAAACACAACAAAAAAACAGTATGTACTGACATAAAGATAGACATATAGATTAATGAATACCACTGAGTCAAAAAATAAACAGACTTTCAATAAAAGTTCTAAGACAGTTCAATGGGGGAATGAATAACCTTTTCAACAGACAGTGTAGGGCAACTTAACATATGCACACAAAGAATCAAGTTAGACTCTTTCTTTCTTATACCATACACAGACGTTCATCAAAATGGATCATAGACCAAAATGCAAGAGCTAAAACTATACAGCTCTTAGGAGTTTACAGGAGTAAATCTTTATGATCTTGGGTTAGCAAAATACATGTGACAGAAGAAACAATAGATTAATTGGACTTCATCAAGCTAAAAACTTTTGTGTTTCAAAGATATCATCAAGAAAGTGAAAAGAGGGGAACCTGGATGGCTTAGTTGGTTGGGTGTCCGACTTCAGCTCAGATCATGATCTCATGGTTCGTGGGTTCAAGCTCTGCATTGGGCTCTGTGCTGACAGCTCAGAGCGTGGAGCCTGCTTTAGATTCTGTGTCTCCCTCTCTCTCTGACCCTCCCCCGCTCAGCCTCTGTCTCTCAAATATAAATAAACATTAAAAAATTTTAAAAAAAGAAAGTGAGCACTGGGTGTTATATGGAAACCAACTTGACAATAAACTATTTGTAAAAAGAAATAAATAAATAAAGGCAAAAAGAAGTAAAAAAAAAATAAAAAAAGAAAGTGAAAAGACAACAGAATGGGAGAAAATATTTGCAAATCATGTATCTGATAAGTGACTTGAATGCAGAATACATGAAGAGCTCTTGTAACTCAGTAATAAAAAAAAGACATCCCAATTAAAATATAGGTAGGGGCGCCTGGGTGGCTTAGTCGGTTGAGCGTCGGACTTTTGCTTAGGTCATGATCTCGCGGTTCGTGGGTTCGGGCCCCGAGTCGGGCTCTGTGCTGACTGCCAGCTCAGAGCCTGGAGCCTGTTTCAGAGTCTGTGTGTCCCTCTCTCTCTGACCCTCCCCTGTTCACGCTGTCTCTCTCTCTCTCTCCTAGAAATAAATAAAAATATTTAAAAAAAATATATATATAGGTAAAGGATATGAATAGACATTTGTCCAAAGAAGATATATGCATGGTCAGTAACCACATGAAAAGATGCTCAACATCATAAGCCATTAAGGAAATGCATATCAAAACAACAATGAGATACTACTTCACACCCAGTAGGATGGCTGTAATTAAAAAGACAGGCGATAAAGTTGTTGACTGACACATACACTGCTGGTAGGAATAAAAAATGGTGTGGTCACTTTGGAAAACAGTTTTGCAGTTTCTCAAAATGTTATACATAGGTATCATATAACCCAGGAATTTCACCCAAAGAGAACTGAAAACATGTGTCCACACCAAAACCTGTGCACAAATATTCATAGTATTATGCGTAGTAGTCCCAAAATGGAAACAACACAAATGCCCATCACCTGATAGGTGACTAAATAAAATATGATACATCCACAAATGGAATATTATTGGGAAGTGAAAAGGCACAACTGATACATGGATGGGCCTTGAAAACATTATGCTAAGTGAAAAAAGCTAATCACAAATGACCCCAGACAATAGGATTCTATTTATAAGAAATGTCCAGAACAGGCAAATCCATAAAGAAAGTAGGTTACTGGTTGCCTGAGATTGGGGGAAGGACTCGAGAATAAAAAAAGACAAGTAACTGGTAAGGTGAACAGAATTTTGGGGATGTGAAAATGTTCTAACGATTGTGGTGATGGCTGTACAGTTCACTCTCTGGTGAATATATAAAAACACACTGAATTTTACACTTTAAATGAGTGGATTTCATGGCATATGAATTATAATCTCAGTAACTATATTATTAAAAAAGAGAGAGAAATGAAACAAGTTTCTATGCGAAGTTCTAAACCAACCTGTTTGAAAGATTTGTTTTTTTTTCTACAAGCCAGAAAAGCCTACTACTATCAGATAAATTATTAAGTGTAAACATTTAATTTTGTCTTAGTATTTGAGTTTGACTCATGCCATAATTGACTTTGGATTCCAATTATCTCAAAATTTTTAACTCAGACTTCTTCATCTATGTCAGGCTAAAATACCAGTAGAGGAATTTATATATTTAACTTTGAGCACAGTATTTTTCATATCCAATTGTCACATGTATGTTTTACAATCTGCTTACCTCTTCTCCTCTTCTCAGGAAGGGATAACCAACTTTACATGTGAGATTATGATTGGATTCACAACTGTCTTTTTGGATAGCCTTGGAGGAAAGAGTAAACAGAATTAGAGCAGACACACAGGTGAAATACTGTTTTCAGAGTTTTCCCAGGTATGCCTTGGACTCTGCCTTGCTGAGATTTGTCCCTCAATTTAGTTGAGAGAGTCACATTATTCTGGGATCACCTGTCTCACCATCCATGGAAAATCTGAAAACATCACTTAAGTTAAGGGAGACTGAGGGACAAAGCACATCTCATCTGATCCTGTATAGACTTTCCACTGTAAAATGGAGGTACTAACAGCATGTAGTGCACAGACTGATTAAATAATCCACACATACCACAAGGTCACATGGAAGCCCACAGTGAACGGCTATCATCAGCAGAGTTCAGCATGGTGGTAAGAACATGAGCTCTGACGTGAGTCCCCCAGGATTTAAATTCTGACTCTATCACTGTTAGCTTTCTCCTTGTCAAGACTCCTCACTTCTCTGAGCCTGATTTTCTGTCAGGTGAGGCTATTTCTATTTCATCAAATCGAAAATGCCACTGAGACTCATCATTATTTTGTGTACCAATAAGAAGGAAAACAATGCTGCCAGCAAAATAAACATATCACCTGTAAAATGCAGTTTCAGAAAGGTTATAACATGGCAGAAAGAGATTATACTAGAATCTCTGTAGTACAATAATACCTATTTACTTAATGAGAATTGAATAAGTGGAACCCTGAGAACAGTGTCTGGGATATAATATGACTCAAGAAAAGACTGTCATTGTTATTACTGTTGTTATTGTCAAAAGAAGTAGAGGCCTCTCTACTGAGGCCATGAAATCAGTTGAAAAGGATACTGGCGATGATTTTTAATAGAGTCTCCTTTCCAGAAAACAATTCAGTGGTAATATTTTCGCAGCATGACTTTGCACATTTGGATTTATAATTAACATTCTTTACTGAATCTAAAATATGTGGTAGTAATAAAGGACTTTTTTTAAAGCTCTGTTAGTCATCATGTCCTTAGGTGATACCCTAATAAATGGAGAGAAATATCAATGGAAGTCTGAATTTACAGAAACTAGACAATGGAGTTTTAATATTATATTAATAAGAGTATTGGTTTTAATACGAATTATATATATTATTAATTCATATATACATAGAATTTTAAATAAAGGGCATTCATTTAGAGATTAGAAGTAAAATAAAAGTTCAAATTTGGAAGTACTCATTATTATTCCTGATATAGCATCTTATGCAGCTATGTTATTGCTGAGATAAAAAAATTCTGTCACGACAAAAAGACGTTCATTACAAGTTAACACCTCTCTTAACAACGTAAGGAATTTTACATAGAAAATGAGAAATGGTATCTTGATGTTTATTTATGTGAACATTTTATTTTTGTTACAAGCATGCATTAGTCTCTCTGTACCTCTATTAAACTGTTTTAACTTTGTTATTTTTGATATTCTTCCTTGACTTAGTCTCAATTTCAGCTGATTACGCCTCTATGAAACACATGATTTTGCTCTGTCACAGTGATCCTCTCCTCATACTGAATCTGAGGAGTCACAGATCTCTAAATAAATCTATCAAAAACAAAACCTTTTAAAAAAATTGGCACTTTCATCATTAGTGAGTACTAATTTGTACAAAATGCTCTCTGTTCTTCTAAACCCAGTTAGCTCCAAACTAATCAGTTCTTCTAAAACAATTAGTTCAGTAGCAGGAAAAGTAGGCTCAATAAATAATTATTATAAGAATAGACAAATATAAAACTAAAAGTTTACCTCAATTCCTGAAAAAATTAGGTTTGGAGAATAATCCACTATGGTTCTGGTGTTATAGGCACTGTCCTTTTTGTTTTTGACTGTGAGACTAACATTGAACTTATCGTTGTGGGACCTGACAATAAGCAGGTCCTTCCCTGTGGTGGATACTTGCAGGGTGAGGTCTGAGATACATTTTTCCTTGTTTCCACAATCTTTGGCAAAGGGAATCTGAAATGGTCACAGAAAAGCATTTTTTTGAAATTTAGTTAAGCATGATTGAAAAATAATTTTTAACTTGCTGAGAAGAAATGACATATTGCCACACTAAGTTAAGCAGCTCACAAAGAGGACCGATTCCACTGCAGAAATCATAAGGAATTTTAGATTTACTCCTTTTTTTTTGCCATTTAATTATTTATTGGGACTTAGAGCATTTTAAGAAGTGAAGGCTATTACCTACTTATAAATATGGATTCATAGATACTTCCTAGATTTTTATTTATTTTTTAAATTTTTAAATTTTTTTTACAAATAGTTTATTGTCAAATTAGTTTCCACATAACACCCAGTGCTCATCCCCATGAGTGCCCTCCTCCATGCCCATATCCCGCTCCCCCCCACATCCATCAGTCCTCAGTTTTTGTCAGCATTCAAGAGTCTCTCATGGTTTGCCTCTCTCCCTTTCCCCCACCATTTCCCCCCTTCTTCTCCCCCATGGTCCTCTGTTAAGTTCCTCCTAATCCTCCTATATGTGCAAACATATGATATTTGTCCTTCTCTGCCTGACTTATTTTGCTCAGCATAACACCCTCAAGGTCCATCCATGTTGCTACACATGGCCAGATTTCACTATTTCTCATTGCCATGTAGTATTCCATGGTATAGATAAACCACATCTTCTTGATCCATTCGTCCATTGATGGACACTTAGGCTCTTTCCATGTTTTAGCTATTGTGGAGAGCGCTGCTATGAACATTGGGGTCCATGTGCCCCTATGCATCAGCACTCCTATATCCCTTGGGTAAATTCCTAGCAGTGCTATTGCTGGGTCATAGGGGAGTTCTATTGTTAATTTTTTGAGGAACTTCCACACTGTTTTCCAGAGGGGCTGCACCAGTTTATATTCCCACCAACAGCATAGGAGGGTGCCCGTTTCTCCACATCCTCGCCAGCATCTCGAGTTCTCTGATTTGCTCATTTTAGCCACTCTGACTGGCGTGAGGTGGTATCTCAGTGTGGTTTTGATTTGTATTTCCCTGATGAGGAGGGATGCTGAGCGTCGTTTCATGTGTCTGTTGGCCAATTTTAGATTTACTCCTATAATTTATAGGAAAAAATAATAAACTTCTGGATATAAATTCTTCTGGTCCTTCAAAGAATGCAGTTTTCACAGATGTTTTTCACTGGCTTTAGTCTGCCAGAGTAGAACAGTTGCAAGAAAAGCAAGTTAAGTACTCTAAGATCTAAATCTATGAGAGAATATTTTAATGCTCAACTCTGATTTCGAGATGTTCTATTGAAAAGAATCAAACACTTAGGAATGTAACAGAGCTCAGTCAGAGGCCAGAAAATGGTCAAGCCATATCACTGGGAGCTTTCCCTGACTCCTCTTCTCATTAAGTCCTACCCCATTATCTAAACCTTCATTAAGAGCTATCCATTCTGCCTGTCTTCTAAGTATCTTCCAACTGTCTTCTGGCCTCTCCACCTCTAGTCTAGTCATCCTTATGTTCTCCCTGAACTAAGGCAATGGCTTCCTAAGTGGTCTCCTGCACCCACTTTCATTCCAATCATTTTCCTTCAATCATTCTCTACATTGCAGCTCTGGATTTTTTTTAATCCTTAAAGAAATACAAATCCAGTACCATCACTGAACCGATTAAAGCCATCCATAACATTTCACTGCTCTTCAAAATATCTGTGCAGCAGCACAAAGTCCTGAATGATCTGGTTCCTGCCTAGGTCTCCCACCTCATCCCACATCACCTTCCCCCCTTGCTCTTTAGCTTCAGCCACACAAGACAGTTTAGTTCAGTTCTTTTATGCCTTAGAACCATTACACATATCCTTGTGCATGAAACACTCCCTCTGCTCCTCTGAATAGGATGCAAAATCCTCCTATGCTTCAGATCTCAGTTTTAATATCACAACTTCAAGAGAGCACCCCCTGAAGTTCCCATAGAACAATGAAGTTCTCCTCCAGAACTTCCAACCTAATAATTGTTTCCTAGGTTGGTCTCTAAGCTCTGAAGCCTGGTATATATAAGATACCCAATAAATATATTTCAAAGGAAGAAAGGGAGAGTGAAAGATATGGGTATGGGGAAAACTAGTTCCCCATTCTTAATGTTTCCTCCATTGGTGACACCCTATCTTTCTGCTTGCCCACTCACTCTTTCTCAGGGGTGGGACACTGGATTTTGTGAATTTGGAAGCAGGAGCAGGGTGAACACAGCTCAGTCCCTTCCCATCTCTCCTGCTCTTGGAGCAGCAGTGTGTCTGATACATTCCTGCTCTGTATCTCCATTCTGCAAGTTTTATGAAGTGAGTCCCCGTGGAAAAGGCCTGAGATTGATAAGCACTGCTGATGACATATTTGGTAATCTATGGGCTAAGCCTTATTCAGTAGGAGGACAACCAATATACCTAAACCATGTCCTGCCACCCAGTGTTCACTGGTAACAAAAGGAGTTCCAATAGGCCAATTTATGTCTCTTTCTATTGGTCCTAAATTCAGGAGAGATTAAAAATAGGTGCTATTTATAAATTCCCGTAAGCTCCAACAATAGGAAGTAGGAGAGTTAAGAAAATTCTAGAAAAGTCTCATTCTTTTTGTAAAAAAATTGATTTACGGTTTTGTGTGTGTGTGTGTCACAGTTTCCCTCTCAAGTGTGTTCTCATATCGGTGTTCTAAATTTTCAAAAAATCTGACTTACATATTCATGTACTGAATTTGGTAGGGAATCATCAAGAATAGGCCCGTCTTCTAGATTGGTAAGATTAAAATCCAAAGTTATCCTCACAGAGTCCCGAAAGTCATGCTTGTCCTGTGGGTTGAAACGTAAAATACTTTATCGTTGTTATCATATTTACTGGATGTTCCGACTTTGTCATGGCTTCCTGCTTCTTGCTTCTGTGGGCCAGGCTTAACTGGAACATTCTTGTGCACCTGATCTGGCATATTATCTCATCAGGCTTTTGCTTCCCTGGAGAGAGATGGCCTTCTGCCTTGATAAGGGACACTGCTGGAATGCAGAGGCTTCAGAATATGACCAGTTGGCTCACCTCTAGCCTCTTAGGGGGCCCTGATGGAGTGATCGGGTGTGCTGTAGTTTGCCATGTCATGATATATTACCCTGGGCTGCTTGTATAACAATATCTCTTCTCTTGGGACCTAGAGCTAAAAACTGCCATGTAATACTTCTAGGAAAGTCTCCCAACTTCAAAAGAGCAAACTTTATTTAAATTCAGTTGAATTTCATTAGTATAATGTATGCCTGTGTTGTAGGAATTTCATAATGTAAACTGATATGTAAGTAGTATGAAAGCGATCAATATTGTTTTATACTATCATCGGCAATGGCCATCATTTATGGCATGTCCAGAATTACGAACTTTACAGACATTATCAAGAAGTATTTCAACAACTTCCAAGATGAATAGCCATTATAGTCATTCTTTTATATTTGAAAACCTGGACCTCTAAGAGACTAAATAACTGGATAAAAATCACCTGGAATATGAGGAAGTCTTGATATAAATCCCATCCTGGCTGACATCCAGAACAAATGTTAAAGTATCCATTACAATCCAAAAGGGGATTTTGGAAATTTTGAAACTGGTTCATACCAAGTGCAGAGACATAGTTAGATTCTAAATTTTGGGCAAATCTACACTACAGTGACTTCTAGTGGGTTGGAGGTGGTGCCACTTCTGGTTTCATGCCCTTTTGGATTTTATACAAGTTATAACTCCTAAACATTCAGTTCTGATGAAATAAATAGGAGAATAACTCCAACTGTTTTTTATGATTATAGATTGATCTTAGTGTTGACAAATAAGTTAATTTCAATGAATGTCATGGGTAATATTGACTTGAAAATCACTGAGGAGAAATACAGTACACCAACAGGGCATGTTTTCTGTCACTTCCCTACCCTGATTATAATATTTTAAAAATACAGAATATGAATACATCAAGAATACAGAAATAAGTCAGAGGTGGAGAAAATTGTCCTGTTTCCTTTAAACATTTTTTTTAATGCTTTTTATTTATTTATGAGGGTCAGAGACAGACAGCGTGAGCAGGGGAGGGTCAGAGAGAGAGACGCACAGAGAATGTGAAACAGGCTCTAGGCTCTGACCTAGCTGTCAGCACAGAGCCTGACACGGGGCTCGAACCCATGAACCGTGAGATCATGACCTGAGCCGAAGTCGGAAGCTTAACTGACTGAGCCACCCAGGCACTCTAGCCTGTTTCCTTTATAATTACAAGATCATGTGCAAGTTCCAAGTCTGTCTCAGCCACTAAAACCACTATTTTCTCATTATATCTATTCTTGTCTCTCTTTCTGTCTCTAAGTATCATGCACATTATAAGAAAATGTTTAAGAAATTCCTGCCCTTATTGGGTATGTTCCCCATTTACACAGTGACTCAATAAAATGAATTTGAAATGGTTCAAACTGACTTCCTAGTCATCTCTGGAGATTAAGAATTTGCTTTCCAAGGCACCCTCATCACTGTAATACAAAGAGACTTAGGTAGCACAAAGCCTGTGGATAATAAAAAATACCAGATTTTTTCCCCTTCAATTTAAAGCCAAAGAGCAACAAGAAAGGCCCTAGGACAGCATATGACCCAATACTTTTCCCTCAGGGCACGTAGCCACTTACCTACATTTGACTGATGAGGCCCACAAAAGTTAAATGATGTCTTCAAGTATAAATGAATGAATATAAGAAATGAGTAAGTGAATGAAGGCAGGTCTCTTATCAACCAGTGCACTGTGCCTTTTACTATTCCATAATATATGGGTATCTGATAACATACACACAGGGAAGACGAAAGATAGCTCTATGAAATGCATTTGGAAATTAGAAGATCAGGTCTGTGATTTTCTGATAAAAGTGACCAAATAAAATGAAGTTTACTTTCTGATGTGCACTTTGAAATAAAATAAGAAGGCTGACTTGAAGTAAGACATCTGTGCTTTATTCTTGACTTGGAATAAAGCAGCTATAACATATGATTTACTTGCCAACATGTAGAAGGAAAGCTTAGTGCATTCTGATTCTTGAACTGTGATGTTTCTTTGAATCTTTCTTTCTTGAGTTCCAGAGAAAAAGCTTCGTGATATCTGTCTTAGTGAATCTAGTGTGACACGGTACTGCAAATCTGGAAGAGAAAATGACAGAAACGTTTACTTGGGGTAACTTTCATATGGTCAGTTCATTAAATTAGCATTATAGAAAAACCTCCTGAGCAATCAGTCAACACAAAGTTTCTATTATTCAGTTTACCCATTTCTGTAGTGCAAAGGTACTCACAGTCCTGAAGATAATCTTCAGGAACTCTCTAGAACCACCTTCTGAGTTCACTATGCCTTTAATGTTTAATCACACTTATTTTATAAGGTATATGTACATATGCGCACACACACATACACCTACATATCAATTTTATGACCATGCATGTGTCATAAAACTGGGTTTTATGAAAACTGGGTTTTCACTTAAAATATATACTTTTTTTAGTTTAGCAATCTTGGAGCTCTGCTTAGAATATTGATTATATTTCAAAAGACACACAAAAAATACACTAATGAATTTTTACCTATTTTATGAAAAGGTCATTTTAGACTATGTGCAAAGTACATAATGAATTTAATAAATAAGTTTAATAAAACAGGAGTACCAAAATAAAAAACAAGTTAAACCTTACACTTTTTAAAGAGGCAACAATCCTACTTATTTGAACCCCTAGTTACTGTATAGAAATTAAATGAGACAGAAATAATGTTGTATATGAAAATGTAAATCATTATTTTACACTCCTATAGCTAATTATCTTCTAATAAGAGGACTATTGTGAGCACAATTATGCACACGAATAGCAAACTAAGAAAAAAAGATTTTAAGGATTAATTATTTTTCATATTCCACTTATCTTTGGTTTGTAAACTACTGTTTTGCAGCCAATGGACTCCACACTTTTGACTCTAACATGTTTTAGTATCTTTAAAACCCCACCTCAGGAAGTGTGCATGTAGGGAGGAGGAGGTACCCCAGGCTATGCCTGAGAACTCACACGTGGAGCATGTCTGATTCTCAAAAGCTAGGGTCACCTTCTGAGTAAAGCAAAGAGATCTCAGGCAGGTGGAGGTGGCAAAGCATTCAGGTCCCTACAATACCAGTCTTAGCAAAGAGAGGCAGGAGAAGGAAGAAGAGAGGGTTTGTGAAAAACCACAGGAAGGAAAACTGGGCTCCTTTGAAGCCCAATTTCCAAACTTTAATCTCCGAACATGTATTATTATTATTGTTTTTAGTATTTGGTTGTTTGCTGTAAAGGGGAGAGCCCGAGGGGATCCATGGACAGTTGTGGCCATTGCATATAAGCATATGGTTTCTGCTCCAAAATTTACTGGGTTCCATAACATATTCTTTCTTCAGTAGATTTTTTTTCCCCAAGGTTCAGCATGTTGAAGGGTGATATGCAGATCCCTATCACAGGGGAAGTATAATATCTTACTGGATTTCCTCATGTGGGAGCAAATGTATTGTCCTCCAGCCCCAAAGTACTTGGTATAGTTATTATACTCACTAGTTGTGTAAACTTCATCTTCTTTGGACTTCAATTTCACATGAAAACACACTGTAGCATTTATGCATACTGTTTCCTTTCCTTCCATATGGCAGTTTTTCTTTTGGATGTTCACTTTATTGGGTTCAAAATTCATGGTCACTTTAACTACAGCCACATCTCGGGACCTGCAAACATAAATGGTGATGACTGCTCACACATTGTCACATTTCATGAATTCCATCATTATGACAGTGCAGTGTGAACGCACTGGTGGGGATTCTTCTTTGTGTACAGTTGGCCTCTCAGGACTCCCATTTTCTAGGTGAGTTTTTGATACATAAGAAATGGTATATGATGGGGGCGCCTGGGTGGCTTAGTTGGTTGAGTGTCCGACTTTCGCTTAGGTCATGATCTCACGGTTCGTGGGTTCGAGCCCCGCGTCGGGCTCTGTGCTGACTGCCAGCTCAGAGCCTGGAGACTGTTTCAGAATATGTATCTCCCTCTCTCTCTGACCCTCCCCTGCTCACGCTGTCTCTCTCTCTCCTAGAAATAAATAAAAAATATTAAAAAAAAAAAAAAGAAATGGTATATGATGTTCTGAGAACACCCAGGATGTTTTGAAACTATCTTCAACTTTTGGTTCTGAATGGTAGGAGAATATGCAGCCCCAAAATGTGACTACAGGCGTTCAGGACACGTTACCCCAAAACATATCACTTTGGTATATTGATTTTTCTGAGCCGTAGGCACTTGAAAAATAGTAAATACACGAAGGGGCTTTCTCTGAACTTTCCTTCTACTTAAAGACAGATACTCCAAAAAGAACTCAATTCAAGTCTATCACCCAGAGAGGACTGACTCTTACACAGGAGGAGAGACACCACACTGAGATGCACTTTGCCACAAACTATCATCATATCACCCATCTATTCTTTCCAAGGCCCATTCATCTTTCTTAAAAATTATTTGCTCTCCAGAGGCCTACATACCTTCTCTCTTGTCTCTATTAAAATGGTATATAAGCCTGGGGTGTGTGGGTGGCTCAGTCGGTTAAGTGTCTGACCCTTGATTTCGGCTCAGGTCATGATCTCACGGTTCATGAGTTGAAGCCCCACATAGGGCTCGGCGCTGACAGTGCAGAGCCTGCTTGGGAGTTTGTCTCTCTCTCTTTATGCTCCTCCTACACACACACACACATACTCTCTCTCTCTCTCTCAAAATAAATAAATAAAATGGTATTCAAGTCTGAATTCTAAACCACCTCAAGGAATTACTCATTTTCCTCTGGATATCTCCCATGTATACATGGGATATACACATTAATAAAGTTCTGCTTGTTTTTTCTCTTGTTAATCTTTTATAAAAGCATTCTCAGCTAAGAACTTAGAAGGTTGAAGCAAATTATTTTTCATTCTTTACAGTTCATAAGCCAAAAATCTGTTTTCCTGTGATGGAAAAAAATGATGGAACCAAATGCTCAGATGCAAATTCAGAACCAAAACCATATTTTTGTAGCTTTTCAAGTTTGTTTTCAATCTGGAAAGAGTCCCAAGTCCTATGGACAACTTTTGTGCACTGTAATACTTGTGCAGACAAATACAGGTCCTAAGCTAGGTAGCTTGTGAATACATAGGTCCCTGATTTGCTTTTGCATTAAAAACAAACAAACAAACTGTATTTTTCTTTTAAAACATTTACCCAAAGAAAACATGGAAATATAAAACAGGAAACAAAGGTAACAGAAATCACTTGCAATTTTACTACTCAGCAATAATCACTGTTAACATCTGATATGCTTTTTTTCTTTGCAGAAGACTATATTATCTATAGATATGGATGTGTGTGTGTGTGTGTGTGTGTGTGAAAAAGAGAGATACACACACATATCACATACATATGTACCTATACCTCCTATACCTACTTTTAAAACTATCATAATATAATGGATAGCCTTCTTTTTTTTTTAATTTTTTTTTTTTTTAATTTCTAGGAGAGAGAGAGAGAGAGAGACAGCGTGAGCAGGGGAGGGTCAGAGAGAGAGGGAGTCACAGACTGAAACAGGCTCCGGGCTCTGAGCTGGCAGTCAGCACAGAGCCCGACGCGGGGCTCGAACCCACGAACCGTGAGATCATGACCTAAGCGAAAGTCGGACGCTCAACCAACTAAGCCACCCAGGCGCCCCTAATGGATAGCCTTCTAATATTTGTATTTTTCTGAGAATATTATTTTCAATGGCAATATACTATGCCAGCATATAAATGTATTATAATCTATTTATTCAATCCTTTCTTATTGGACATTTATGTTAATTTGTCTTTTATTAGAATTTTTTAATGTTTATTTTTATTTTTGAGAGAGAAAGAGAGAGGAGGAACAGAGCATGAGTGGGGAAGGGGTAGAGAGAGAAGGATCTGAAGCAGGATCCAGGCTCTAAGCTGTCAGCACAGAGCCTGATGAGGGGCTTGAACCCACGAATAGTGAGATCATGACCTGAGCCGAAGTCAGACATTGAACCAACTGAGCCACCCAGGCGTTCCTGTATTAATTTGTTCTTTTTTTTTAAAGTTGCTAGCACAGTGCTGTGATGACTAAAAATTATATCTCTTAGACATAGATTAGATCTTTACGAATATTTAGGAAGTAAATTCTTTGTTAAAAAGTGTAAATATTTTAAGGCTTTTTAACACTTATTGGCAAGTACCTTCTAATGTTTGTTAAGCAGTTTACTCCTTCACCAGCAATGGATGAGCAGGTCTAGTTTCCTGCATAGTAGTTTGGATGCTCCAGGAATGAGGCTCCCCACTGAACATCTCTGCCCCAACCAGGTTTTTAAAGGGGTTATGCTGCATGACAAGGCTCTCAATATCTGTTCCTGGATGTCTCTGACTGCTGGTGGGCCTCTGTTTATTGCCTGCCATCTACATCCACTCTCATGCCCTCCTTCAGCATTGTAAATCTTGGTCTTTGTGTCCTGTATGCTGGTTCGGTCCATTCTGCTGGGCAGTCACAGCGACCCAACTCTGTCATGTTGACCCATTACTGATAAAGCATTGACCAGCAGCAAAAGAGAAATAAGTCTTCAGAGCTTTGTAAGAAGCCTTTGAAACAACTGGAGAGTAAAAATTTCCCCTAGTGTGTGTGTGTGTATATATATATATATATAAACAAATATATATAAAAAATATATATATATATAAAATATGAGAGTGAATACAATAAATATTTTTGATTGAAGGCTATCATAATAAATTAATTCAGGATTAACAGTTCATACAAAAACTAAATATACCTTTTGTTGCTGATACTAGTGATTTCATTTGGTTTTGGGTGTGACCTCCCCAAAGTCACAGCTACTTGCTGCCAAGCATTCCCCTTTCCCAAGCATCACCTTACAGTTTTCTTTTCCCCGCACTATACAGTCAAAACATTTCTTAACATAATAGCTTTTATCTGTGTACCATTTAATCTGCAATTTGTATTTGGCTATTAGTTCTTAAACAGTATCTCTTTAAAAAATTTTTAAAAAAAATTTTAGGTTGAATTATAATTGGCATACAGTGATTCAACAATTATATTCATCACTTATACTCACTACAATAAGTACAATTACCATCTGTCACCATATGATGCTATTACAATGGTATAAATTGTAATTATAATTGCAATTATCTTATATTTTGACAAAGTCATCTAGTTTCAGGTCTCTATCTTTACTATTTTTCTAGATAATTTTTTTTGGGAAAAACACCAATGAGATTTGTTTCCATCTAAATTACTTTAAACCAATGATTGGTTTGGAAAAATCAATATACGGACTTGCTATCAAAGCACATGGTGTAAATATAAATATATTTTTTATAATAAATATTTTCATTATATGTATTTTTTAATTTCTTCTTTAAAGTTTATTTATTTTGAGAGAGAGAGCCACAAGCAGGGGAGAGGGGCGGAGAGGAGAGACAGAATCCCAAGCAGGCTCCATGCCGTCAGCACAGAGCCTAATGTGGGGCATGAACTCACAAACCATGAGATCATGACCCAAGCTGAGATTAAGAGTCAGACCCTTGGAGCACCTGGGTGGCTCAGTCAGTTAAGCATCCGACTTCAGCTCAGGTCATGATCTTGTGTTCGGTGAGTTTGAGCCTTGTGTCAGGCTCTGTGCTCAGAGCCTGGAGCCTGCTTCAAGATTCTGTGTCTACCTCTCTCTCTGTCCTTCTCCCACTTGCACTGTTTCTCTTTCTCAAAAATAAATAACGAAACAAAAATAAAGAGTCATACCCTTAACCAACTGAGCCACCCACCTGCTCCTTTAATTATATTTCTTTTTTTTTAAAATTTTTTATTTTATATTTTTATTTATTTCTAGGAGAGAGAGAGAGAGAGACAGCGTGAGCAGGGGAGGGTCAGAGAGAGAGGGAGTCACGGACTGAAACAGGCTCCAGGCTCTGAGCCGGCAGTCAGCACAGAGCCCGACGCGGGGCTCGAACCCACGAACCGCGAGATCATGACCTAAGCGAAAGTCGGACGCTTAACCGACTAAGACACCCAGGCGCCCCCTTTAATTATATTTCTTAATGAAGTTTGAAACATTTAAAAAATTATCATACAAAATTTATATTAAAAGTATCCTTGATGTTTTAGTCACTTTTTCCCCCAAAAGAACCCTTTTTGAAATTGTGCTTTTTAAGTAGTTAAAAATGGGGTTATTACTCTCGTTAGCTAATAAATTATTTATTAATGAATAAGCTAAGAAGTAAAATGGTATTAATATACATATCTGACCACTGACTAGAATTTTATAATGAACTGAAATTAATTTGAGGATGCAGACATTTTAAAGGCTGAGTAGAGATATTACTGAAGATGCTTCTATGCTTGACCAACAATGTATATACAAACGATGATGTCCAATTGTCTAATTACATGTATTAGGTAAATGAAGAATGAAGAATCAATTACCCACAAAAGTCTGTGAACAACTCAAAGTTAGAGATGTTTTCTTATTTATATAATTCTCGATGAGTGCCTCTTTCTCCCCTATGCTGCCCCCTAAAACAGAATACCTACCTTAGTGCCAAGCACATAATAGATACCCCAAATTAAGGGTTGATTGTACTTGTTTCTTTAATATGGTTTCATTATTTTTAAGATTTATTGACTTTTCCAGCTTCTTGAATTACATAACTTTTATCTAAATAACAGAGCATAAAGGAAAATTGAAATTTGGTATGGCATGAGCTCCAATCATACTCTCTGAGCTCTGGAACTATTTGTGAAATGTTATCAGATTAATAGGATGTTATTAAAATACATACCAGAAGAGGGCAGCGCCACCAAGGCCCCCAATAGTTACATCAGTCAGACCATCCTCATTTAGATCCATTTCTCCATGGATAGACTGGCCAAAAAATTTCAGTGTCTTGCCATCTTTACCTGATGAAATATGCTGTGAAAGTACCAACAGAGAGTTTTTATGCCAGAAGAGTCTCTTCAGAAACAGTTTTAAATAAATCTGAGAACTTGGATTGGTTAACAAAATATTAAAATTAAGGATATTTTGGAAAACTACCAAAACCCCTCATGTGGAGACAAGATGAATTACTCATATGTTACCAAAAGTTATTCTTTTTATAGTACAGACAAAATAATTTCAGGGTTACTGACACCAGAGAGGGGGAAAAATTATATAACGTCATCTTGTCTAATGTTCAAGGAAAACATTTGTGAGTAACTGGCTCTAGTTTCCACTCAGTTCCATAACATAGAGGTATTTAAAGATACTGCAACCTTGAAAACATATATACAAGCAAGAGGGAGAACAGAAGTTTGTCCTAAGGGTCAGTTTGGGATTCAGTGAATTTGGAGGCTGGGTATAAATAGCAAATTCTACCAGATAAATTTTCCAACATATGATCTTCTTTGCAAAAGTCAAGGGCACAATAAAATCATTAGGCACAAATGAATATGGAGTTCTTGAAGACTGATTCTTGTACATGGTATACACCTATACATACTGTGTTTAAGATGTGTGCTTCCTGGTTTAGCTTTGGCTCCAGCTAAGGACATACATATTTTTAATTTTAGAGAGAGGGAGAGAGAGAGAGGAAGGGTGGAGCCTGATGTAGGGCTTGATCCCACAACCCTGGGATCATGACCTAAGCTGAAATCAAGAGTTGGATGCTCAACCACCCAGGCGCCCCTAAGCTGATCATACTTTAATAGAACTGATAGCAAGGATAAAGGACTGACAGACCCTCCCTAAACTTGGGGGTCTTCTTATCCTCTTGTTTTTCACTTACAAACCATAAATTAAAAAGCCAAACAAGGCAAACCAATAGAAACATTTTCATGCTTAAATGTTTGTGGCTCACTGGGAAGTAGTTCCTTATTTTTTCAGCAAATGAATCAGGAGATATCATTTTCACTGGTTCTGGAGTTCATTCAGTTTGATTCCGGATTATCCCTCACACAAGCAGCCCCTCTGGTTACCATGGAAACAAGTGAGCACATCCTCACCCATCCTTAGGAAGGCGTTTTGCCATTAAGCAAACTCAACTCTAATATTCTTTCTTGTGGTTATTTAAAGCTGCATCCAGAGTTAACCACCATTTTACAAAATAAATTTCTGACAGTTTTTCCTGTTGTTAATGATTTAGATATCCTCTTTTTTTTTTTTTTACTGCAAATGCCATTTCACTGGATTTTCAGGATTAATAGCAAAAGAATAAAGTGGTAGAACACAAGAAAGAAACTCCTTCTTGCAATTCCTAATTTCATCACATTCCCATGGGTAATATTGCATGTTTTCAGTTAAGTAATACCATGAAGACTCTTGAAAGAAACAAATAATTTACTGAATGGATGGATTGTTGTTACTGAAACATGCCTTTTACTTTATTGTTTCATTAATGTCATTATGACTTTATGAAAAATTAAGTACAACTTCACAATACATGAATGGATTTTGAGAATTCTGTTGACTACAGTGTGAAAAGAACAATCGAATGTAAAAAGAAATAATTGATGACCCGATTTTCTTTTCACGTTATAAAAGTAGTTCAATACCTAACTACTTATGGTTACTTAAAAACAGACAATTACATTAGAATAATTCCTTTAAACTCTTCTGTAAATTTGTATTTTTCTCATGTGGGAAAAAATTATATTTATGGATTAGAACCATTGACTGACAATAAATTTAAAACAATAACAACAGAAGTCCCCTGTAGGTTAAGCTTAGTTATTCAGATTTTTTTCCAGGAGGGTTAATTGTGAGGAAATTACAAACCTTTAGGAACCCAAATTCATTTGATGAAAATATACCAATTTAATTCATAAATATAAATGTAATGCAATTTCATTATAATAGCATGGGTACTGAATATAAAAACAATAGTTTCATCTTCTTTATTGGCTAAATTGTATCATTATTGTTCTTTTATTTAGAAAGTGGTATCGTCTGGGGTGCATGGGTGGCTTAGTTGGTTGGGCATCCAACTCTTAGTTTGGCTCGGTTCATGATCTCACGGTTCATGAGTTTAAGCCCTGCCATCAGGCGCCATGCTGACAGCACAGAACCTGCTTGGGATTCCCTCTCTCTCCCTCACTCTCTGCCCCTCCCCTGCTTGCTCTCTCTCTCTCTCTCAAAATAAATAAACTTTAAAAAAATAAATAAAAATAAAGTAGTATCCTCTGTTTAGGATCGCACACATTGTAAATGTTAACTACTGTCATTATAAAGTGTTCTTTTGTTTTGTTTTTTACCATTTTGAAAGCTCAGATCATGGAGCCGCAGCAAAAAACAACAGGAAAAAAAATAGGTAAGAGGATAAATTACACAATAATGCTTCTATAAAGAAAACTTAAAAAGGAATTAAATCTAGTTTTCCAATAGAGTCAGAAGATAAAAATTAAATAACTCATGAAGCAAGACAGGAAGCAAGCCTAGCATTGAACCCACTTAACGTTTAAGGGCGGGGACAGTAGGCTGAACTTCTTACTTGTGCATACTCCTTCCGTATAGTCTTGCCACTCCCATGATAAATGTACACGGCTCCCTTGTGATCATCTTCCAGGGGAGCTCCTATCACAATGTCATCAAATCCATCAAGATTGAGGTCTCTCACAGCAGCAATAGCTGTTCCAAAACGAGCCCCACATGGCTCATTTCTGTTTTCTTTTGTGCATGAGTTGTGCTTCAGAGATGAACAACAAGTCTGCTTAATGGGTTCCAGGCTCATTTGATATTCAAACCTTGTCTGGAAGAAAGATAAACAAGATACTTATGAATTTCTATCATTACAACAGCACAGTGAAATTTTTAAGTATGTACTAAATCAGAGCTATTAAAAACCATTTGTACATCAACGGTAAAGTTTGTAAAATTTCTTAAAAAGTGTGCTTATCTGAGAGCAAAGTTAAAGATTTTAAAGAACAGATTGTAGAAGTGTGGGGAAGAAGATATATTGAGGATTTTAATGGATTCTCTTTTAGTGGAATCAAGTGAGTATATAACTCACAGCATACTTTTAAAGCTGAATAACTTAAATTTTAAATCCTCAGTTCAAGTTTCTATCCTTCCTTCATCCAATATTTGCTTCTTTGAAAAGTCTCTATACAGTCTCCTCTACAGGGTAAAGAGAAAAATCTACTCTACTCAAAAAGGAAAGTTTATCCAAAGCTGTCTAGAGCAACCCTCCTACTCACCCCCCAAATTCAGTAAAGGTCAGAAAGGACTAGTAATGATGGATAGGAACACACTTTCTAGGAAAAGAGGGAAAAACAGCAACGGCCAAATAAATTGATGGGGGGAAGCAAACAAAATGATAGGAAGAAAGATAAACAATTTATTTTTATTTTTAAATGTTTTATTTCTGAGAGAGAGAGAGAGCAGGGAAGGGCCAGAGAGAGAGGGAGATACGGAATCTGAAACAGGCTCCAGGTTCTGAGCTGGCAGTCAGCACAGAGCCCAACATGGGGCTCGAACCCACGAACCGTGAGATCATGACCTGAGCTGAAGTTGGATGCTTAACCAACTGAGCCACTCAGGCGCCCCTACAATTTATGAATTAAAATAATTAATATGGAGAGACTCTAATAATTTAAAAAGTTAAATAGATAATGACTGACTTTGCAGTAAAAAGCAAAAATTCTTCTGATGAAGAAATTAAGAATTATTTCAGCTAACAAATGATGTCGAAAGTTAGGAGTGGAAAACAAAACCTTACTCCAGCCCAATGAAGTATTCCAAAGACCAAAGTAGTATACTGTAACTGTGTGATGTCACTGCCTTAAAATCCACTGCTCCGCAGTCTCTCTGCTTCCCGGCTTTGTTCGGACAGCTAACACAGTTTTAACTACTAATGTCCCAACACCTCCAGGCCAGAGCCATGAATGGTTGCCCTGTGAGTTTATTTAGCAGTTTAGTGAGATTTATATGTATATTAATATTTATTCTATATGTTCTCCTGAAAAAGGATAGTTCACATTTCCAAGCAGAAAACACCTAATGGTTTAAAATACTTTATTATAACTCTAAAACATTCATTTAGAAGTGGAGGAGTTGGTCACGGTAAAGGGGCCCTGAGAGATTCTTTGCTCCTTTTTCCAAAGTGAGTGCAACATTAGAACTGCATTATTTATTTGAAATTGAAAGAAAGGAAGAAGAAAGAAAGAAAGAAATTCATGAATTTCTACCAAAGGCAGAGTGATCAGTACCTGATTCAGAGCATACACATACACTTTTCCTTGTTCCTCTTTCTCTGTTCCCATGTACATGGGAGCCCCAACCAGAAGAAGGTCAGTATTAGAATCCTTATCAACATCAATTGTGGTCAAAATGCTGCCAAAGTAGGAACCAATCTAGGGTACAAAACAAAACAAAATAGTCTGATAAACATCAGAAATTCTCAAGAGAGCTAAAGTCTGCGTTTCTTTTACTTACACTAATCTAGAAGAGTATTTGAAATTCAGATATATATAGAAATAGGAATAAAATACAGAAACGGATTCTATTTGGAGGCTCTTTATTGGCTCTTGTGAGGCTAATAAATATTGAGACCCATCCCTGAGGATGAGCAGCAGACATAGTTTCTGCAGCTTGAGAGTAAGAGGAATGGCTTCCTCTAGATTTCATCCTAACGGCTCTTCTCTAAAAAGCAGAAAAGATCAATAATGCCACCACGATTTTGTAAGGAAATAAAATGAGAAAAACAATAAAAGGCATTCTGGGGTGGCATCAATATATATTTATTTACAGTAATATGAAAATAGGAATAAAACACAATACGAAGAACTGATTTGTCTTGTAATACTGGTGCCGCGTATTTCACATTGTAGATTTAGAATGTTGTTTATTCAATGAAATGGCTAAGTCTTGTCTTAGCACTTGTGGAAGACAGAGAGATATAAAAGGACTGCAGAGGGACCATCTTTTAAAGATATGGATGTATTTTAGGGAAATGCAGTAGACTTACACTTCATTATCTAAATGCAATAATATTCCCAAATATTGACCTGGGTTTAATATTTAATGCTCTTGATAATTCTCTTACTGAAATTTCCTGTCTTGGCTTCCATGATTTTAGTTTTGCTCTCTTGATTCTGCTACTATATCATAGGACACCCTTTGTTTTCACCTTCGCTGACTCCTTTTTTTCCTCCCATGCCCTAGATTTTGGCCTCCTACGCTAAGACCTGCATTCCCCTTGCCTTCTCTTATCTTAGATGGCCGATCCTTCCAAACATCTCCATTACTAAAAACTGCAAATTTAATTCTATCTTCCTTCTCAAGACTCCAGTGCTACATTCCTAGACATTGCTAGACATTTCCAGAACTGCTATATTGACTTTCAAATGTCCTTTTCTCATAGATTATGAAGGGCTTAAAAGCTTTTTTTTTTTTTTTTTTGAGTTGAATAATTACAAACATAAATAAAATGCTGTAAGATCTGGCAACCTTGGGCCTTTATTCCCACATGGGGATAGCTGTCTGGAGCTGAGTGGGAGCTAATGTTTAGATGGCTCAGGAACTGTCTAGGCCATGGTTCCCACCATTTCCTGTTGTCCACTGTGCAATAGCTTTATTTGCTTTACCTTTCTGGCACCCATAGCCATTTGAATTTGTGCTCACTGTTACAGGAAACATGTAAAACCAAAAAGCATTAAAAAAATACCTAAACCACTTGAGTTGCTGACATTCTGATTATGGTGCCACCTTTCTCCCAGATTCCCAGGCTTGAAACTTAAACCATTCATAATTTAAATCATTTGTGACTTTCACAAGCAGTTTTTCACAAAATTTTCACTTCCTGTCTTATGTACCATTAATAGAGTAATATCAGATGTACAATGTCATACTTTTATAGTACTGTCAGCTCCTCCTCATTTGTGTCTACTCTAGTCCTTCCTTTTCCATTTTTATTGGTGGTACATCATTTTAGGCTCTCCTCACCTTATCCTTGAGTGACAATAATAGCCTTTTTTTATTGTTGATGCATTTTCTGATTACAAATGCGGGCAAAGAGCTAATAATAAAAACCCTTTTATAAGGTTTTATTATTCTCTATACATATATATGAGAATCTACATATGAGAATCTGACTTTGGTTTACTCTAACTCTGTTTTCCCACACATCTGATGGGGGAAGGATTTCAATTATATTACTAAGCAATCCTGAGAGTGGTAACAATAATCTCTGATTGGGAATGCCGCATTTAGGCTGAGGGGAATTGTAAGTACCTGATGGGCTTCCCAGGATGCAGAGACTCTGACAACTGTATGCCCTCGGCAGGAGGTCATGATGTTGTTATAAAAGATATTGGCTCCTGTAAAGAAAGGGTAGCTCTGCACCTGCCTGCCTGCCATGTCTGTCTCCTCATGCCCAAGCAGTTATGTGCCGGGCAGCTGTGAGTGTGCCTAGAGGAAGGCTCATGCTGCCCTGTCTTCTGGAGTGGCTGGTGACGGAGGAGAATGGCAGGGGCAGACTAGTGAGCTGGGATATTTAGTGAAGCCCAAATGACTGCCATGCGATAATAACCAACAGCATAGAGGTTTCTTTTAGTTTAAAAATATGTATACATATTTATGTTTGGTTATTGTGTGTATAATTTCTCAAACCACTTTCAGTATTCAATATCATCTAGTGAGAAGTTTTTGATTTTACATGTCATAACTTCCCATTACCTCCAGGAGAAAATCCAAATTCTTTAGTTTGCCATTCAGAACCTCACACAATTGGGGTCCACATTATCTTTATAACTTTTCTCTCTTCTGCTTTTCCTACCTATCTACGGTCTATCTTTCCCCCTAGATGAGCACAAATGTTATTCATATTAAGACTTCTGGCACCAAACCTAGTGTGAAACAATCTTTCCATCTTCTGGATTTACTGTCTGAGGCACAGACGTTTTCATGCTTCTCAATGTTTTAGAACTTTTTTCCTGTTTGTATATACCTATACATTTGTATCTACCTCATCATCCATACATCTTATCTCCACTTCCATGCAACTAAAATGTTCCTGAGGCCAAAGATGCAGATATCTTACATCCCTACGAGGAACCCAGCACAGGGCCCTGTTTAAGGTTGATGTTGAATATGATAGGACTTTTTCTTTTTAAAGTTTAGGATAATAGATGGGTAATTTAAATTTACATAGTGTATAAATGGATTAAAACAATAGTTTTCAAGCTTACCTGCTCTCCACTGAGTGTCTGAAGAATCCGGATGTCTCCATTTTCCATCCTATAGATGACAACCTGTCCCGTATGATTGTACCGTGGCTGTCCGGCAATGTAGAGCACATCTCCAGAAACAGTGGCGGAGTTCACTGTGTAACCTAACAAAAGAGAGATGCCAGATATACTATCTGACCCCTTAAAGGTCTGCACAGAATAAATTAAGATCCATTTTAAATGGCTGCGAGGATCATTTCTGTATTTCTATACAGACTTCTCTCTCTTTCTTTTTTTTTGAAAATGTTTATTTTTTAATGGAGTTAAGTTTGTCTTGGTAGAAGCTTTTAGCATGCTCTGTGATCATCTACAGTGACCACTTTGTCCACCCCCCACCTCAGGTTTTCATTATTCAAGGGCACAAATGATATAACAATCATGACAGAAGAAGAACACACACACACACGCTCACACACACTCCTCATGAGCTCAATTCACTACTTTGTAATAAATCGATGTACTTCATCTGGACATATGTGTTTGTGCTATAGAAAGTAAAAATTTTATATAGGGGAATCATGGTAAATGTAAGCCTTTCCTGCATTGTTGCTGTAGATTTTTAAGTAGTAATTTGAAGTAACTGAAGTTTATTTTTCCAAGTTAAGGCAAAAAGCATTGCATTTCTACCACAGGACCATTCCAAAATAGAATGGTATTAATATTTAGGTAGTTTTTAATTTTTTTATATTATACTTAGCCTGCAAAGACATCCTTGAACACTTAATATTTTTTTCTTCTTTTGGATATTTTTGGTGATAAATTTCAAGGAATAGATTACTGGATCAAACTTTCAATTCTTTCAGTATCTGGCAAATTGTTTCCAGAACATTTGTACTACTTTATTCCATGTATAGCCAAAGGACAGACTGGTTTCATCAAACTCTCCCAAACATGGGGTATCATTACCACTATTCAAATTTTTGGATGTTTTAATAGGTATTAAACATAATCTAACAATATTACTTTGTTGTGATTTTAATTGTATTTGTTTGATTAAAAGGAGGAGTGGGGTGGGTGGGTTAAACAGGTGATGGGGATTCAGGAGGGCACATGTTGTGATGAGCACCAGGTGTTGTATGGAAGTATGGAATCACTATATTGTACGCCTAAAACTAAAATTACACTCTATGTTGGATAACTAAAATTTAAATTTAAAAAGTGAGCTTCAACATTCCTGTTTTTAATTGGATTCTCATGCCCATGACTTTTTCTGTGTCTTTAAGGCAGATTATTGTTAATTTTTGAGTGAAGAATTAGATTTATTTCTTGTGTCTTACATGCTGATTTCAACTTTATAGAAGGAAGAAGTGTTCTAATAATCAGATCTGTCCCTCAGTGGATCAGAGGGTATATTATTCTTCCAAATACCACAGAACAGCATTTCTTACTAAGAAAAAGATTGTGTCGATAATTTACTTTCCAAGTGTTTTACTAAAAGGTAATAGTTTCACTTTATTAGAAAACTTTTGAGAAGGAACAGAGGTTTTTTTTTTTACCAAAATATGTTCAATCTTACAAGTCCTAAAGGAACATAATTCCTCAAGCATATTTTCCTTAATGAATATTTTTCTTCCATTCTCATTTCTTCATCTTTCTTTGAGCTTCTAAAAAATTATACACAGTAAATTATAGACTGTTCTTTTTCAAACAATTAATGTGTCATAGTTCTTCTGTTACTAACCACAATATTGCTTAAAAAATAAAAGCTTTAGGGTCATGTTTATACATAAATAAAATAAAAATGAAGAATGTGCCAAGCACAGGCTGTTTTATTTTATGCCATTCTACTAAGAAATATTAAGCAAGGACTGGCCTAAGAGAGTTAGGACACTTAGATTTTCTTTTTAGCTTACAGAGCTATGAATGCAAAATGATAAAAGAACCTTTAAAAAAACTGAAAATTATGTTTGAGGCTTGGAGTTGTGTGATTATTCAATTAATTAGTTTTGATAACTTGAGAACAAAAATTATTAGATGAAATCTTCCCTGAGACAGTACCTACTTGTCAGATAGTTACTGGGTTCTGCTCAGGAATCTAAAGACAGTAAACAGGGAGAAAGAAAGGCGGCCATGTAAAGTCTAGTTTTCATGAAAGGAAAATAATTATTTTCATCTAAGCTTACTGTTGCTTTCTGAAAAAAAAGGCACAAAATTGAAGAGAAAGGAAAATTCATAGCATAGACTGCTGCATAGATTTATAAAGAATAAATCCTGTCAGCTTTCACAATTCACTTCCTGGGGAAAGTGCCAGGATCTGGTGAGGTAATGGGAAACAGGTATGCTTGCTTTGATGTCATGTGCTTGTTTGCTTCACATTTTTACTTTAAAAAAAAAAAATTGTCTGGCATGATTAAAAGTGGGTGGAAGAGGCAGGGAACTGTGACCATATTCTCACCATCAAAAACACTTGCTAACTGCATACTGGCCTAAAGTAGTTACTGGGTGAGTGACTATATCCTTAGGGGTTCAACAACTTTTGTTCCTACTTCTTCCTGGTCATTATTGATTAGTATGGGATTTTTTGTTTCCGACATAAGATTTTCCATTGCCTAATGACTTGCAATCTACATAGATGTCAGACTAACACATTCAAGCTCTTCTTTTTTTTTTTCTTTTAAAAAAATGTTTATTTAGTTTGAGAGGAGAGAGAGAGTATGTGAGCAGGTGAGGGTGAGAGGGTGAGAGATTTCCAAGCAGGCTACGTGTGCCATGTCAGCACATAGCCAGACTTGGGGATTGATCTCACAAATCCTGAGGTCATGACCTGAGATGAAATCAAGAGTCTGACACTTAAGTGACTGAGCCACCTAGGAACCCTCAAATGCTTCCGAATTCATAATCCGCACAGGCAGACATTCTGAAATCGTCATTTCAGGTATAGAATAATATTTGGGGTACAAAGCTATTTTTCTCCCCTGTCCCCTTTCTGGGTGCTTTTCTATTTTAAAAGAAATCTTATATATCTTAAATGTTATTTTGGCAAAACATCTTATGTGCTAACTTGTGATTAGTTTAATGAAATGATTTCTAAAATATAAATACATCATCTTAGTACATTGTAGACAACATATCCCCACATTTACTTTTTTGGGCAGGAAGGAATCATATGTTATAAATACTGTGGTCAGGGATGAAGATTCTCTTAGTGTTGTCTTGCTCCAGTGTTATCTTTAGGTCTTGAATTCTCTGAGTCTGTTTTGAGTACCATGAATCCAAGCTTTGGGGGCATAAGAGATTTAGGCTTGCTAAGACTATTCGGTTTTAAGAAATTTTACTGCATAACAATAACTTGGAATATCAGAAATACTACAGTATTATTAAAATATGTGAACTAAAGGTGTCACACATATCTTTGTGGACTTCATGCCCTATCTTTAATTTTGCAAATGTTGTTAATTTTGAAATGAACACGGGAATAAGAATCAAGATAACTAGATTCTAGTTTCAGGTCTGTCATAGGTAGCTGTGACATCATTTTTCTATTCCTTAATACCTTAATTTGAAAAATTGAATATTAACCATATGCTCTCTTAAGATCTCTATTAATGCATATGAATTTAAAGCCCATCCTCTTTATGTTACAACACAATCCTCCAAATATTTAAAAGGTATGCAGTGTACATTTTGTCTCCTAACCATCAATTTCTTCAAATTTTGCAGACACTGGGGACAGAGAGAAAGGAATTTTTCTAGATCAGTTTCCTCTAGATAATCTTTTATTGGCACACCCTAGTTTAGCATTTTCTTTTGTAATGTGTGATGTTTAGAACAATGGAATACTCTAGCTGCTCTCTGACCAGGACAGAATGCAATAGGAATTTTATGAGAAATAAAGTAGACTTTTATGAATGCAGTTCAGCATGTGTTAAGGGGTTTGAGCACTCACCTTCTACCTGCTGCTTACCACTGTAGTTTAAATTATCTACATCCCTCAGGCCTTTCATTTTTCAGTCCCACTGCTTCTACAGTTTTAAGATGTGTCTTTGAAAAAGGAGATGTATGGATCTACCAGTAAAGACCTCCTACCTTCCTCATAAAATAGAAAGAAGCTGGATAGAGTGACAAAGACTTGCCTCCAGGACAGAAAGATCCCAGAGAAGAATGCTAACATAGTAAAATATGAGCGCTGAAAGGTATTTGTTTTCTTAACCACTGCACCCCCAGCACCAAGACAATACTTGGGGCAAAACAGGTATCCCTCACATATTTGTTGACTGAGTAAAGTGTTGGGAAACCATACCCTGAGCGTTCTTTACATCCCAGGCCTTGATTGTTTACTGAGATCATTTAGTGAAAGAACACTTCCCTGGTATCACCTAGGCAGCTCAGTTCAGATGGAGAATAAGGTAATAGCAGACACACACCTCCCCATTCCAGACAAGTCTTTGAAAAATAAGACGACATTATATCATTGGGTTTAAGTTCAATATTTGTCTGGTTGTAAATAGAACTATTAAAGAAGAAGCTATATGACAAGAGAAATTAAAATTTTCTTTTCCAAAATTAGGACCCATAGAAGGAAACTAATGATATAAGATGTTTTAGAAAATATGGGAGTCTGATCTGCAGGATATTAGCTGTGTCAAGGTTTCTCTTTTTTTCATTTCCTGTCTACCAGGTGCAAAGCTCTTCTTGAAGTTAATGAATACCAGACACAGGGAGACTTCAAGAAGTGCACATAACCACCTAAATCATTCCTGCACTAGGGAGCCATTCTCAGAGAGTGTGACCTCCATGTTCTGTTATTCCTAGGCTGCTCAGAAATTAAGGCTGCTTGGGAACTTTCATGGGTCCTATAAAACGTGTAACTCTTGGAAGTTACCTGTCTTCACATGGTTATAAGTAAGCCTATATAAAAATAAGTAAATAATGCTAAAAATAAAAACAAAACGAAAAATAAACCACAATAATTTTCTATCAATTACATCCACACTTTACCTAAATAAGAAGCAAGAGGTTCATTCTTTTTGGTAGACTCAACGTTAAAGGTTGTATTTTGAGGGATTATGATTTGATTAGCCTTCTGCATGACGACTGTTCCATTCCAATCATAGGCTCCTACCGCTCCAAGCATGACCCAGTCCTTATAACCAAATAGAGAAAACAAATGACATTTAACAAAAGAGCAAGAACACAGCATTAACAATGTGATAGATTCTATTCAAAGTGCTTTACATGTATTAACTTAGAATCCTCACAGTAACACTATGGTAACCTGGTAGAGTAACTTGCCCTCGGTTATACAGTACAACTGCCCATTGAAATGTCAATATTCCTTGGCAGGGACTCTGATGAATTTTCTTTCATCAGCTACAAATGATATATTTCCTAATCTTGACTTTTTGTTTATTTCTGGGTGCCAGGAATCCTAGGTCTTGAACATGGAATTCTAATAAGATCTTTGAATACACTGAGACTAGGAAAAAGATACAATTCATACCATTAGCAACTGTTTTAAATTAAATATTTCATTTAGCCAGATGTATAATTACATAAGGCAGACCTCAAAATTTTTGATTCACAATTATTAGTACGATGACTGAACTGTGGGAGACATGTTTTCTTAATAAGCTTGTGAAATGCCATTTCCTATTTGGATTAGAAACATCATCACAGTCTGAATAACTGGGCAAGCCATGAACTGCTAGTTGCACTTATAATGCTGATGCCTGGGCTTGCTTTTGGGAGCAGAAACCTTAAAAAAAAAAGATATTTCATTTTCTACCAAGTGGTCAATGTACCTGTGAATAATGTGCACTGAAGCCAGTCTGAGACATTTCCATTTCAAATGAAGCTGCTGATTGGTCAGCTGTAGCTATAACAGAAAAATAAATGCCTTTTAGCACACTTGATGTAGAGAAGACAGAAACCAATTACAGACTGGGCTCTTTACCAACCAGAATTTCCAACATCTTTTGGGTATGTTTAGCCACACATTTCTCAACCCTGAACTCCTAGATAGGGCTGGGTAAAGGACAGAGAAGGTTAACGGAAGGGTCATGGCTAGATACCCTTGCTGGGAAAGGCTTCTCTTCTTATACTCTAGGATACTTGTGGATGACATAGCACTTTAGATCCATGTGGTTAAAGTCGAAAGTACTGAAGTTAAAAACCTCCTTCTTCTCACATTGTGGGAATCCTGCTCAGATAGTAGCCTAAACTTACCCAATATGTTACAGTGTTGAAAAATTTTTATTCACATATTTAGAGAAGTCTCTTGACTTTAACCAAACCCACTGTATTTCCAGGTATAGATCCTCTTAGAATTCCATTATTTGATAAGAAAGTGTAAGGATTCTGGGCTTGTATTTTCTTTAATTTCTGGTGGTAGGTATCACTCACAAATTCAAAGAGGACTTTTAGATGGGCTGTAGGCGATATGCCATTCAATCACATATTTTTAAAGAAACTGTACCTCTTTTTTTGTTGTTAATGCTATGTAAAAGGTTCAGTGGCAAGCATTAGGTCTTTTTATCTTTCCAAGAGTTCCATGAATCTGAAAAATTTTAAATGAGGATTTCTCTGGACAAGATTCTGTACCCATTTTTAAGCTCTTTACTGAAATACAGAGATAATCCAAAGCATTCCATGGAAAAATATGCTAGTCTCAAAATATTTACTGACCCAAAGCCACAACCTCCTAAGGGGATCGAGGGAATGTTGATTCATTTGCTTTCAGTGGGGAGTTACTGATTTATTTGGCTTTGAAAATAAGTTAAAAATAGTGCATAATTTTAAGAAAGTCAGTCTGTCTTCTCATTGAGGCATGAGAATAATTCAATTTGTGAAATCAAACTTATTTACTAGTTATTTCCTGGTATAAATTTGTTAAATACATCAGTGAATGCCTTTTTATAGGACTTGGTTAAATAGGGATATCAATCAAGAATTCCAATGTATCATTTTAATCTCACGTATGAATTATCCCCTAATTTAAATGACTGAGATGCACTTTAACTTAAATCTCAATTTTAAGTCCACAGTGCTTTATGCTGCCTTCTTATTTATCTGTGCAACGCCATTGCAAGAGTGCAGGAGTGAAGACCTGCATGCTTCCAGTACCTTCTCCCCATGCTGTTCTGCTTATAGCTGAGAACAGAGAGAAGGGAGTTTTGTGACACTCCACCTGCTTAATCACTGTCATGGTAATAGCCCCCTGAACATCCCTGAACTTCTTGCTGTCAACTCCTCCCGAAATGTTCCTAACTACTGAGATAACCACTCTCCCACTGTGCAGCATCTCGTTAGGAATTTTTGCATTTCCCCCATGTGCTGGGAAAGGGAGACATAGAATCTTTCTGAGTTTATTGTGCAAGGTGGTGGCCTGTTCTCCTCACTAGGTGGCACAGTCCTTGGCAAGGAAGAATTTCATAATTTCATAATTGTTGCTCTTTACTATCTAAAGATAAGTGTTGATAGGAAATGGACACTTCCCAAGTAACAAGGAAATGAAACCCATTCTGATCTCTTTATGAAGAAAATCAGACATTGGCTAGTCAAAACACTGCGTTTGGTTAGCCTTGAAAGTGTGTCAATAAGGATGTGCCTCATATTTTAATCTGAGGATATTTTAAAAATAATTTTGCTGTATTTATTTAGTTTTGTTTGTTTATTTATTTTGAGAGAGAGAGCGAGCATGACCCATGCTTGCCAGTGGGGGAGGGGCAAAGGGAGAGTGAGAATCTTAAGCAAGCTCCACACCCAGTGCATAACCCAATGCGGGGCTTGATCTCATGAATATGAGATCATGACCTGAATTGAAATCAAGAGTCAGAGGCTTAACTGACTGACCCACACAGGTGCGCCCAAAATAATTTTGCTTTTAAATATATAGACTTCTTAAAGTGTCTGGGCATTTCAACGTGTAACCTTTAATTCATAGTGTGGTTAGTTTAGAAGCAACACAAAAATGTCTTCTAAGGTAAATTGGGTCCGTCTTCCCCCAGTAGCTGATATAGGTAGGCTTCATTTCTATAAGTCCTACCAGGTTATACTTACTTGTTTACTTAAAATGAGTTTAAAAATGAGATTGCATTGTGCTTAACTGTCTAATGTAACTAAGTAATTTTTCATTTAAATGGCCTTTACAGATTGTTTCTATCACATCTTAAAACTTACTAAAATTATGAAAAATTAAAAGTGCACAATGACTTGGAAAGCCTTGTAAATTTCCTTCCTTAAGGCTGGCAAAGCTTGTGATCTAGCCTATTAGTAAATACCACTGGGATAGTTGCTGTGAGACCAAAGCCACTTAAAAGTGACTTGTGCACAGAATGTAGGACAGCCAAGTTCTTCAGAAGCAGCTGCTACTTCAGACAGATAAGTAATTCAAAAGTTCTGTTTCTAAAGGGGAAAAGCAGCCAGGGCAGAAGGGAAGCAGAGAAATGATGTCTGCATGGGCTGTAGCTGCTCATCAAATCTAACCTAAATCTTCTACTTCCTGGTCATGATCCAGTCATGAAATTGGCTGGGTGAGTCACCACCAGCATTTTTTTAATTAAAAGAGAAGAGAGAATGAAAATAAGAACCTATCACAGTGCTTTGTATGTAATAAGGGTTATTCTGTTAAAGGTTGTTTTATTTTTATATGTATACATGTATATGCACTAGGTCACGCAGAAGTGGAAAAATTTTCCCTTCTTCCCTTCTAGATTCTGTGGCTGGTTTAATAATTAAATTGACCTAAAAGAGATTAGTGGAAGAAAAATTTAATTTCATATGGGAACCCCCAAACTATGAGACTGAAGGGCAAGTGGGGGCAGTTAAGACTTATATGATGCTATCCTGACCTAAAGAATGGGGTAGAAGCTTCAAAGGGAGGAGGGCAAAAACTGATAATGGCCTCCTTCATATTCTCGATAACTGAAGACCAAGAGAACGTGCCTCTTTCCCTCAACCTTGGATGAGAAACCTCCAGAAGGTTCTGCTTTTATGCCTTATCTGAATCCAGTGGACTCTGTCTTTGTGAGGACACATTGAAGAACAGGTGTTTTGTATCTTAAACATAGAAATTTTTCAAATTTTTTCAAAGGGAGGAGGGCAATTCACAGGATATAAGAAGAACAGATGTTTCGTAAGTAAAAGTTTGTCCTGCCATGCAGAGAGGTCTTTAAAAAGTTATATCTGGTTATCTTTTTTTCTGGGCCAGGGGTTCTATGTGAATTCTTTTAGGTAGTTAAGGGAAAGGTGGAAGTTTTTCCCGAGTCTGGTGGGTCTTGATTGCCTTCAGCTCAAAATAATCTACATGCCAAAGCAACATAATTTGGGATGGCTATTTTGCTCCCCTTTAGTCACAAGGAAAAGTGTATTTATTACCACGGGTCACTGGCATATAAAGCTTGAAACTCATTACTCTCAAACATTTTCTTTCCTTTCTACACATTTGAATATTCTGTCTGTTGGTCACTTTTCTGCATTTTCCTGGTCACTGGATGCTCAATCAAAATGGTCCTTGTTTCAGTTATGTCTCTTTCTCATTTCATCTCTTTGTTTCCCATTATCAGGTCATATCAGGGTGACTGAGAAGGTGCTCAAGAATTTCTATGTTTAAGATACAAAACAACAGTTCTTCAGTGTGTTCTCACAAGCACAGAGTCCACTGGATTCAGATAAGGCATAAAAGCAGAACCCTCTGGAGGTTTCTCATCCTAGGTTGAGGGAAAGAGGCACATTCTCTTGGTCTTCAGTTATTGAGAATATGAAGGAGGCTTTTTTTTTTTTTCAGTTTGCCTGGCATCATGATTCCAAAATCTTACTTTTTTTTTCTTGACCAGGCAAGGGCTAGTTCCAAAAGAATGTGTTACTTGACCTCTTCCACCTAAGGCAGAAAAGGAATGCCATGACTCATTTTCCTCAGTAGCCAATCACCACTGCAACATGCAAGGAAAAAAATCCACAAAAAGTAACATGACTTAGACAAATATAGTTAACCAACGTTTCACTCCCATGGGAGTGAAGGCAGAGTTCCATGAAGACCTTTAAAATGGGCAAGAACCAAAATGGGAGAAAATAAATAAACAACGACGTTATTGCAAATAAGGTCAGTTCCACAGAAGCCCAAAATTAAATAAACAAATTAAAAAAGAAAACGTGAGCTAGCACCTCCATTTTCTAAGCTTGTGTCACAGAAAAGAACTAAAATGCATGGGCACATTTTTGTTCTTCTGAGTCTACACTGACCATTGCCTTCATTCAGCCCTCACACTAGCACCGCCACGTCTTTACTAAGAGAGCTGCCAACAGACACAGGGCTATGTGAGAAAGCCATCTCAGTGACAGATTTACAGAAAAGGGCATTGTTCCGTGCTGGCCACGATACACAGTAAAAGTGCATTAGCTGTGTAGAAGAAATAAATATCCAAATCCCATTACATTAAATTGATTTGTAGAGAAAACATGCGGGAGTATGAGAAATTGTCATACCTTCCAGGGCAAATATTCTTTCTCCCAGAGCTTCAACAATAGTGACTAGAGCCAATTCGTCAGAGACGTTGAAGAAATGCTTTTCAGTGGGTTCACTTGCAATTGATTTTATTTCTTCCACAAATTTTTCAGTGCTTAAATTTCCTCTGTTATAGCTCCCAAGAATCTAAGACGTGACAAAAATGGCAAGGTTATATTTTAAATTTTATATGTTAATTAAGGATCTCAAGCACTTTGTCCACAAACAAGAGTGTATAGTACCTTAATATAATGTGATTTTTATATACTTCCACATTCTTGGAAGAATAATTTTCAAATATGTGATTTCCTAAAATTAAAGTAAAATACTGTAATTGGTAGAGAAAAATATAAAGGACAATCTTGTATGTTTGTGAAAATTTCTTCTCTTGCCTTACTGTGTCTTTGTTTATGACCAGCTATATCTTTAAAGTCTGACAGTTCAGAAGTAATGTTATAGTTTCTGAATGTCTCTGATATTATTCCAGCCTATGCCACCAATTGCTTTTACCATTTGCTGGTAAAAGCAGTTAGTATGTGAGTTACTTGGTCTTGAATAGGCATTTTTTCCTGATCATCTTACCAAGAGACAGTCCCATGCATACAGTTTTAAAACAGATATTGAACTAAATAGAAATCTTACTTAGCAATTCCTGTTTGAAACCAAATGCTGAAGACAGGGACTTTTTTTTTTCTTTTTAATACAGAAGAGAGAGAGGCAAGAATTATCTGTTACAGTTAACTGTAATTACTGAAATGTCTTAGTAGGTTTTCCCAAATATCTATTTTATTTTTTAAAATAAGTTTTATTGAGATATAATATATATACAGTAAAACTCACCCTTTCTAGATATACAATTCTGAGTTTTGATAAGCCCACACAGTAGGGTTACTACCACTTCCAGGTGTAGAACATTTCGTTCAGTGTTGCCTCTTGCCCCTTGTGGTCAATCCCTTCCTCCCCCTGACGCTTACAGCCGCTGATATATTTTCTGTCCATAAGGCTTTGCCTTTCCAGAATGTCGTATTTAAGTAGTCATATAGCATGTAGCCTTCTGTGTCTGACTTCTTTCACTTTGCATAATGCTTCTGAGAGTCATTCATGTTGGCCCATGAATCAGCATTCAGTTTTTTTAATTGCACCCAAACTGGAAACAACTCAAATGTCCGTGAACAGTAAAGTATAGAACAAATTGTGGTGTATTCATACAATGTATGATAAAAAAAAAAAAATCACTGATGCACAAATATCATGGGCAATCATTATGTTGAGTGAAAAGCTAACACAAAAGAGTACATACGGTATGATTTCATTTACATAAAATAAAATACGTAACTTAAGCGATGGTTATATAAGGCACAGCATGGTTACTATAGAAGTGGGTATTAAACACAAAAGGAAGTATAAGGAGCTTTCTAAGGGTAATGGAAATGTTATATATCTTGATTGAGCTGTCAGTTATGTGAGTGTATGTGATTATCTAAAGTCATCAGATTGTTCACTTTGTACAGAATTTTCAAATTGAAATCTGGTATTTTACTATGTGTTACTTTAATTAAAAAAATAATGAACTATAATGACATGAAACAATATGGATTAATTTTTAAATTAATTAACTTTAAATAATTTTAATTAAAATTAACTAATTTTGAAAGTCAGAATGCAAGCAGGGAAGGGGCAGAGAGAGAAGGAGGGGAAGAATCTGAAGCAGGCTCCAGGCTCTGAGCTGTCAGCAGAGTCCCACTTGGGACCCGAACCCATGAACTGTGAGATCATGACCTCAGCCAAAGTCAGATGATTAACTAACTGAGGCACCCAGGTGCCCCTTTTTTATTTTAGAGAGAAAGAGTGCATAGGAGAGTAGCAGACAGAGAGCGAGAATCTGAGAGAGGGAGAGAGAGAGAGAGAGAGAAAGAGAGAGAGAGAGAGAGAGAGAGAGGAAATCTCAAGCAGGCTCCACGCTGAGCATGGAACCCAACTCATGGCCTGGGATCATGATTTGAGCCAAAATCAAGAGTCAGACACTCAACTGACTGAGCCACCCAGGCACCCCAATATGGATGAATCATAACATTAAATTTTAAAAGTTTCAAAATACTATATGCAGCATGACACCATGTTAAAAAAAGGAACACTTTTAGAATTATTTTTAGATATGTATAGGTACCAAAAGATTAGAAAATACAGTATAGTTTAGGGTCTATGGTTACCAGGTGGAGGACACTCAGGTGGTGAATGTGGTCAGGCCCACGGATGCTTATAGTGCATACTTACAATAAGTATGCAGGTACAATAATAAACATAAAAACCTATAAGGTGGCCCATGCTTCCACAAATGATGAGGTTTCCTGAACAAAGGATCATGATTAATTTAATTCTGTGCTAGTGGAATCTAAAAAAATGATGGTAAGATTCTGAGCTCTGTGCTATTGCTTGATTTTTAAAATATCCTACTCCTTGAGGACCAGAAGACAGTAGAATTCTCTAGCTTCAGTTTACATTTTTAAATCATAAACATAGATTTATCTGGTAACATTAAACTGAGACTCTATGGTGTCTTCAAAGTTCTATTGCAAAAACGACATGCCACAGTCCCCAGGTGCAGTTCAGCATTGTTTACTGGGCAGATCGTGGACACGTGAGTGGGCAGACACAGGTGGAGGCATCAGTTGTGATCTGCACTGGATCTTCTGGCCACAGACCCTGCCCCTCTCCTCTGAACACCCGGCTACTCTAACTCTCCTGTGGCTGCCTGTTCTAGGCGTCTGCGTGTATATTTCAATGTGAGATTCAAAATGGTAGATTTAAAAACTGATATGTTTATTAAGAAGGGTACAGCTCTTTGCTTGTACTTAGAAAAGAGCTAAAACTACTGTTTTTTTTTTCTTTCATAGTTTATTGTCAAGTTGGTTTCCATGTAACACCCAGAGCTCATCCCAACAAGTGCCCTCCTCCATGCCCATCAACCCCCTTCCTCTCTCCCCCACCCCCATCAGCCCTCAGTTTATTCTCAGTATTCAAGAGTCTCTCATGGTTTGTCTCCCTCCCTCTCCTCAACTATTTTCCCCTTTCTCCTCCCCCATGGTCCTCTGTTAAGTTTTTCCTGATCCACTTATAAGTGAAAACATATGGTATCTGTCTTTCTCTGCCTGACTTATTTCGCTCAGCATAACACCCTCAAGGTCCATCCATGTTGCTACACATGGCCAGATTTCACTGTTTCTCATTGCCATGTAGTATTCCATGGTATAGATAAACCACATCTTGATCAATTTGTCAGTTGATGGACATTTAGGCTCTTTCCATGTTTTGGCTATTGTTGAGAGCGCTGCTATGAACATTGGGGTACATGTGCCCCTGTGCATCAGCATTCCTGTATACCTTGGGTAAATTCCTAGCAGTGCTATTGCTGAGTCATAGGGGAGTTCTATTGTTAATTTTTTGAGGAACCTTCACATTGTTTTCCAGAGGGGCTGCACCAGTTTACATTCCCACCAACAGTGTAAGAGGGTGCCTGTTTCTCCACAACCTCACCAGCATCTATAGTCTCCTGATTTTAAAACTACTGTTTTAAGTGTTGCTATTTATGATCTGCAACATACTTGTTTATTAGCATCATAAGATGCATGAAGGTTTAGATTAGTAAATGAATCATTCAAATGTTAATGGTAGGAACAGGGTTGTGTGCCAGCTAGTCAGGCAGGCAATGTGGCAGTTCTAGAAATTTCCTTCCTAGTGAGAGTCACTGAGGGATTCATTCTTGATTCCTTCCTCCTGCTTGAGTCACACCCTCGCTCCTTTCCCACAGCATCCTCGGGGAGGGTTCTGATGAGTTCTGTGCATCTGCACATGCAGGTCTTCATCCAGTTCCTTGTTCCTTCCTTAGGCTCCCTGTTCATCTGTAAAGTGTGTGGGTGAGGCATAATGCCCTCATGTCTGTGAAGAACTTGGTGCTGCTTTGAAGATGAGCACAATTTAGGAATCCTAGAGTTGGCTCTAAGGAAATCAGCACACTAGTTAGTTTGCTTTTTGATTTTTGAACGTAACTTTTTACTACTTGTCCAGATTTAGGCAGGAAGGGCACTAAGAGGAACTTGCAAAATTGTATCCAAACACAAAAGTTTGGTTCCTGTCTACCTGGCTGAAAAGCAAATGCAAGCAACAGAAACCATTTACATTTGGACAGAGACCCCTGGTGCTTTTCCCCACTTCAGCTATTTGATGGGGGAAGAGAATTAGTGGAAATGAAGGTCAAGAACCATCCAGATAGGGAGAGAAACCCAAGGGCCACTTGCTCTTATTATATTGAAGAAATTCTCTCTCATATTTAAACACAATTAAGATGCCTTTTTTACAGTTGAGTATTTCCCCACATCTAGATGGACATGCCCCAGAGAAAGTATGGAAAAGGCAGAGAGAGAGTCTCCAGCCTCCAGAGTCTCCATCAAATGTGTGTGTGGATTTCAGGATCACTGGAGTTTGGCTCAACACCACACTCTACACCTGGTATTCCTCTCTGGACACACTGTTGGGCTTCTTCTTTGTCAGCAGTTTTGCTACACATGTGTTTCTTTTAGATTCATACAGATCCTGTATCACATGAAGAGCCCTGAGTCCCCAGTGTTTTACCGAATTTATCCTATAAGTCATGTGACATCCTTGGCAGAAAAGTCACCATCTTTCCTCTTTAACTCCTATTGAGCATATTCTAGATTCACTTTTGCACTGACATGTTAACTCCCATTTCACTTATAAAGTGATACAGTTGAAAATACATATAGAAATTATAAAGATGTTTGGACCATGCATGGTTGAGGTTCATAGTTGTGTTGTAAATGTCAGACATTTAGCGAACTAAATGTGCTCTATGTGACAGACAGAGACAAATGGATAAAGTTCAGTGAAGAAAATGCCTAAATGCCATACTTAAAGAATAAAAGTAAAACATTCAGATGCAATATGAGAGTACATATTTAGAAGAAAATATAAGAGAAAAAGATTCCCAGGAATTATTGTGACTTACATCCCAGTTTGAACTATTTGTATTACAGAATAAAAATGAAAATAGAAATGTGTTTTGATCCTTCACCCAAGGATCTGGTAGCTTGTAGAAACATTATTTTCTATGAATGAGAAGAAATACAAAATAACACTTATAAATTACTTCTGTTTCACTTTATACAAATATGTCAAGCCCAGGCATTTGGTATTCTGCTAATATTTACCTGAAGTAGACATCCAGAATTGAACCTCCCTTGAGGCAGATGTGTCAAAATGTAAAGTGTAGAATTCTTTTACATGTACTGTAGTGCCTTTTGTATGCAAATGAATGGAATGCTAAGATACTTTCTAACTTCTCTGATTTTCATTTGAATGCTGTAGATAATACACATTTCACAGCCATTATAATTCCAGTCATTATCATTTAAGATTAGAATATGAATGTAAAGCAGGTTCCAGCTAGCAGTGTTTAATATCTCCAAGTGACAGAATACAGACCATGGAACAGAGTACTCACACCAGCTCAGGACCCTCACCAAATCTAAGAGTTTAATGGGACACGTTTGCAGTTTTATCATAGAGTGCTTAAATTTCTTTTTAAAAGTTTTAATGTTTAATTAATTAATTAATTAATTCTGAGATAGAGAGACAGAGTGCAAGCGGGGAAGGGCCAGAGAGAGAGGGAGACACAGCATCCGAAGCAGGCTCCAGGCTCTGAGCTGTCAGTGCAGAGCCCAATGTGGGACTCAAACTCATTTACTGTGAGATCATGACCTAAACCTAAGTCGGCCGCTTAACTGACTGAGCCACCCAGGAGGCCCCTAGAGTGCTTAAATTTTCAATAGTCAATTATTTTTGGGTCATTGTTTCCCCTAAAACACATCTGTAGTGTTCAAGATCAAATGGTGGGTAAAAAAAAAAAAAATGGAGTAGGAGAAACAGTCCATGTGATTAACAAGGGCAGACCCTCAACTATAACTGATCATGTGAAGCATGAATGCAGCTGCAGAAATGCCCAAAACCTTTCTGTGTGAATGTATAAGAAGGGGAAGTAAAATAATTGTCTTACTTTCTAGCTTAGCACAAACTAAAAAATAACAAGGTTCACTGGGGACAGGAAATATGAATTAGAAAAATAATTCTTGAAGTGAAATTTTCCAATACAATATTTATAACATTTTGAAGAGCAATTTGATAATAATTCATTGATTAAAATAGGAAAGGAACTCATGATTTTATGATTCTCCAGGAAGATTAATGCAATTATGGGTAATAACTTATTCTCACCTACTGTAAATAAAAGAGATGTTGTTGAAAAACAATTCAGGCTAAGCAGTTAGAGCTCTGAAATGTTGGCTTCCTGTCTTATTTAGAAAAACCAACTTATATTAAGAAGACTCCTTAAAGGGCACATGCTATGGAAGTGAGAGTGAACGATTAGAAAGGAAGGCTGGACACAGTTGTTAGTTAAGGTTCAGAAGCTGAGAACAGGGTTGACAGTCTATGGGAGCCTATCTCTGAAGGCTTCTGTGCAAGAGGGCAGCACAACTTATCTATAAGATTCCTTCTAGCTCTAAAGCACTATAATTTTATTACTTCATGGTTGTAAACTGTAAGAAAAGTAATATTGATTGGTTGCCTAGCCTGCCATTGTGCTAGATATTTTCACAGTCATTATCTCACTGATTCTTTATCTGAGAGAAAGAGAAACAATATTGCTCTATTTTACAGATAAAGAAGCTGGAGCTCAGAGTATTAAGTGACTTATTTGCTGTCACAAAGGCAGAATTTGAACAAAGGTCTTTCCGGCTCCAAAATATATGCTCCTCTACCCTTCCCCCTACCCACCCTTCTTAGACTCCCTTCTGGAAAATGTCCATGGTCTTAGTATCTCTGGGTCTTTTTGCTCTAGTACAAAAAGCAGGGGGTGGAGAGGACCGTGGTGCTCTTTGGAAGTCAGCGGAAGTGAGTGAAAACAGGTTAGGACAGTCCTGTAGCACTTTCCAGAGATCCAAGGCAGAAGAAAGGGAGATTGGGGTGTGGGGAAGAACAGCCCAGGACAGTGGTACATATGGTCAGTCAAGGGGGCTGTGGAGGCCTGGCCATGTGACCTTCCAGCCATGGGGCCTGCTGTCCCTGGGTTTCCTCATCATAAAATGGGGGAAATAAAGGTTGCCCTCCTCTTTGGGGTGTCATGAAGGACACAGAAAAAAACATTGTAGGTTATAGCGTGTGATAATTTAAATTAGTTTCCATGTTTCAAAGGTAGAATTTTTATTTCTCTTTTTCTGAATGTCCCTTTCCATGGGGTGGCACCATGAAAACTGAGTTATCTCAGTTCATGGAACTATTAGAAGTTGATTTAGAAAAGAAAAAATGACTAATAAGAGCTATAAAGCACTCTGACAGTCTCTCTCTCTCTCTTTTGTATTTGAAAGGCAATTGTTATTAATAATGGATTGCTTTTGTATTGGTACAGATTTGCTCACAAAGAGCTAAAGTACTTTATATGTAGTATCTTCTATATCATCAATAGCAGGCTAGGCTTTTCCTTGGAACTAAAGGAAATTTCTGTGATCATTCTTCCCTTCTTGTGCAGCATAAATGCAATTATAGGAAAACATTTTATAGCTGCTGGCTTCACTTTGGCTGCACAGTGGGGGACTATGAAGTAGGGATGAAATGGCTCTGCACAGAGTGCATAAGTAATAGGTCAGTCTCCTGATTCCTCCTCATTCCACCAGTAATGCCAAGAAAGTGGCTGGTGCAGAGGAATACCTGTAACTACAAAACCACGTAAGAAAGTCTTGCTGGGGAGTCTGGGTGGCTCAGTGGGTTACACGTCCAGCTTTGGCTCAGGTCACGATCTCATGGTCTGTGAGTTTGAGCCCCGAGTTGGGCTCCGTGCTGACAGCTCAGAGCCTAGAGCTGCTTCGGATTCTGTGTCTCCCTCCCTCTCTGCTCCTCCCCTGCTCATGCTCTGTCTCTCTCTGTCTCTCAAAAATAAATAAATGTGGGGGGAAAAAAAGAAAGTCCTGCTACTGCAGGGACTCTTCTTCTAAGTCCTGGTGTAGACTGTCCAGAGTAGACAAAAAATTAGGTGACCTTTTGCTTCTTTCCTGTAACTCAGGAAATGTGTAGGTGTTGAAATGTCACTGTTCACTTTTAGCAGATTATTATGAGTTAAGTACTGATTTTCCACCTTCCCAAATTGTGGGAATAATTGTTAATTAGCAGGCACTGTATTTCTTACCTAGCACATCTCCAGTTCCCTCCTTCCCTTCCTTTTTCCTTCCATCTCCTCCTTCCCTTCCTCTATTCTGTTCTTCCTCTGTTCCTCCCTCCCTGCCCCAGGCAGTTCCCCTTTCTATCCTCTTCTTCTTTTCTTCTCTTCTTTTTCCTTCCCTATTTCTGTCCCTTTCTTTCTCTCATCCTCCCTTCCTGGGGCCATAAAGGGAGCAAGACCCAATCCTGCCTCTACGGAGTTTACTTTCAAATGGAGAGCTTTTCCCTTCTCAACCTTGTCTCTGTCACTTTCATAAAATAACCATGATACATACACATCTCTCGTCTTCACACCAGAGTTTGAAAGCCATTTCTAGCCACGTACTTACAGCTATGGAAAACCGCTGAATATTTTCATCCTCACAGTCTTGGATGACCTTATTCAGTCGATGGTTGTCATGGGACTCCCCATCAGTTACAATTACCATAACTTTTTTAACTCCCCTTCTGGCACCCCGGGCTTCAGTGAAAGCCTCCTTCCTGAAGTAATCAAAGAGAAGAGAGAAGCAAATAAAACACCACCCCGGGTTAGGCAAAGTGATAAACAAAAGAAAAACACACAACTGTAGTTACACTAGTGCTGTCCCTCCAAGATCAACACTCATGCCCATTGTTCAAGCTGGGAGACATGATGATCACTATTTGTAATAGTTTTAGATTTATCCCAGCTGACGGAGAGGTCACCATTTTGCTGATCATCACATATCCCATACACAAAGGGCAGCAGTATTTCATTCTTTGGCAACTTGTCAGGGAAGGTGTGACTGGAGCACACATCAGATCTAGAGAAGGTCAGATCTTAAATACTCTCTCAGCCACTCCTTTCTCTACAAACACTCTTCTTTTCTTCTGCTTTTGGCAGAAGCTTTTGCTTTGTCCTCACTTCCCCCATATCTACCCTGACATTTAAAGAACAGTATGGAAATCCTCTGAGCTGAGGAGGGGAGCTGGGAGAAAATCGAATATTTGTGTGGCTATGAGTGCTTGAGAGTGCTTTTGGGTATGGGGGAAAAATCAGCCATGGTAATAAAAGACTGCAGACAGCTGTGGTCTCACTCAGTGTCAGAGCAGGGCTATGGAAGCAAAAGGGGCTGGAGTAGCTGTCAAAGATTTGGCCTGAACTAGGTTTTAGGACACAGAGGATGGGGTGGGAGAAGGTGGCATGGAGAGAAAGGGAAAATGACATGACCTAACTGCAAAGAAAGGAATTTTTTATTTAACTTAAAAAGTGTGTGCTTCTCCATACACACACACACACACACACACACACACACACACACTTTCCTTGTATTGTTTTTTTTCACTCAACTCACTTCCTTCTCTGGAGTCAAGTAAGTTTATTTAGGAATGAAACAATGAAAGGGTTTTACATAATATTTTTTGGATTTTGGTATAAAATACAGCAATCATTGTACTGAATGCTCCTTTTAAATATTTTACTTTGGTCATAAAGACAAACACCTGGAGTTTGGGATATGCCAAAAACATATTTCTCTTACACCAACCTTCCAAATGGTTTGCACAATACATATTAGTTGTACTGTAGGAACATAGTAAATTTACAATAGGAGGAATATTGTGAGCAGGAGAGAAGATCCCAGTGATTTGGGCAAAGGAATTTTATCTGTGACTATTTTCCTTTAAAAAGACTGAACGCAAATATGACAAGATGTTAACAACTGTTGATTTGTTTGGTGAGTACACAGGATTTTGTCGTATGATTTTTTTTTTACATTTTTGATTTTCTTAAAATTTTAAAAATAAAGGAGGTTTTTAAAAACAATTAATCACTAAGGGACTGCACATATCTGCCCTCTAAACTACAGAGGTAGATTTTCTGACTTCTTTGTATGTACAAAGGTGAAAACAGATGTTAAAGGCTAGTATTTAAATGAAGTTCAGATATGGATAGCATATAGGATTCAATTCTTTTTGTGGTCCTAATTCTTTAGAAGATCACCAAAACTTCCTAATTCTCACAAAGATATAGACCATTAGTAAATGAACTTCGGCTAATGGAGATAGTTAAAAAACATTTCTTAAAGAAAATCTGGTAGATCTAAACAAGGCTTGGTTTTATACACATAAGAGTAGCCATTGACAGAACTCTTTTTTTTTTTTAATGTTTTATTTATTTCTAAGAGAGAGAGAGAGAGACAGCGTGAGCAGGGGAGGGTCAGAGAGAGAGGGAGTCACAGACAGAAACAGGCTCCAGGCTCTGAGCTGGCAGTCAGCACAGAGCCCGACGCGGGGCTCGAACCCACGAACCGCGAGATCATGACCTAAGCGAAAGTCAGACGCTTAACCGACTAAGCCACCCAGGTGCCCCGCCATTGGCAGAACTCTTGAGTGGCTCTTTCTGTTTCAAATATCTTTAGCAAATTGCCCATGACCCCCAAATACTACCATCCAATGAAAATAGAAGTAAAGGATTCTAAAAAATAAAAAAACATTGCCTGCAGTTGGCCCTGCCTGAAAGGAATAAAGAGCAATTAAAAATAGCTTCAATGTGAAAAAACTAACGTAAAAGAAGGATACTTAGTAATACCACTGTGGAGTTTTATTTATATACAAAACTCAATAAACTGTGTGTCCTACAGCTAGACCCTTTGTGCATATGTAGGCAAAAACCATATAGGGTTATGGTATTTATGCAGGAGCAAAGCAGCTAGAGTATTTCTTCAGTTAGTTTTCAAAGATGAATATTCATTCTTAAGTGGTTGCCTTTGGAAAATACACAGCTCCCTACAGGCTCAGAGCTTTCAAAGAACACTTTGATTTACTCTGAATGTGCAGTCACATTTAGTCAATTACTTAAGGAGGTGCACTCAGTACACCTCAACATGTGCACTCTCTGTGCATGCAAATTGGTGATCTGAAAGGCAGGTAAATGTAAAATTACCCCATCTGTTTGTGGTTATTTTCTCTCGAGCCCCATATAACTAGAACCACATGCTTTTCTAACGCTTAAGAGTCTAATGCTGCACAAGAAATCTCAGTTCTTCAGAATATCCATATTAACTATTTTAACCCCCTTGAAATACTGATGTCAGTAGGCAGGTGCGGTGAGAGCATGGATAATTAGTTCTTTAAAATCAGATGAGAGTCCAGAAGGTGAAGACACTTAACAGAAGGATCCTTAGTATTAGTCAAACTACTTATTAGTATTTCCTGTGATTTTGGTATTGCTTGGTTTTTGTTCAGAACCTTATTATCTTTAAAGGCAACTCACAAATAAAACAGCAAAAGATGAGAGTAGAGTACAATTGGGCAATATATAGAAAATAAAATATTCTACATTGTGATCAAAGGACAGTTCTGTAGCTTCTCATAGAATGAAGTTCAACCACAGAGTGGATTATGTGCTCTCCATGGAGGTGTAGGATGAAGGAAGGGATGTAAATCAGAGAGAATTTGGAGAAAGGAAGAAAGTGCATAAATGATGAAGCTCTTTCCACTTCTTTCAATCTTTGCACTGAAAATAATTCAAAGACAGCAATATTGAAATTGGCCTCTTAAAAACTACTTGAGAGCTTTAATAACCCTATATTAGGTACTGTAAAATTATGGATATACTAAGATACAAATATATATTGAGTCGAAGTGGATGAATATTAATCCTTTTTTAAAAAATCAGATTCCTAGAAGCATAGACAAAGAACAAAGGGAAAAGACATTCACTAATATTTTGTCTTAGTACCAAAAATCATGATGCAGTAGACTAAAGTAGTTTTTGTGATTGATTTTTCATCACTTAAGCCTTTGGAATGAGAAGACAGATAAGAAGGGCAGGGAGACTATGTTGTAGAAAAACTTGATCCTATAACTATTAGCTAAGTGATAGAATCCAGTTTTTAAAAAGATGGCTTTAAGGGGCGCCTGGGTGGCTCAGTAGGATAGCGGTCCAACTTCAGATCAGGTCATGACCTCACCGTTCATGGGTTCGAGCCTCGCATTGGGTTCTGTGGTGACAGCTCAGAGCCTGAAGCCTGCTTTGGATTCTGTGTCTCCCTCTCTCTCTGCCCCTCCCCTGCCTGTGTTCTGACTCTCCCTCTCTCTTTCAAAAATAAACATTAAATTAAAAGAAAATATTGCCGAGATAAATGCTCAATCAATACTCTAAAGGGCTTGATTGTGAACAGTTAGTCATGGATAGTTTTTTATTTTGGTTTATTTTTTAAGCCACATACCTGGCTGTGTCTATCCCAAGGGCTGTCATGGTCTGTCGACCACCTCTCTGGATTATTTTATTTGCTGCATCAAGTACCTCATCCGTTGATGAGTACTTATTGAGGTTGAACTCATGGGTTACATTTTCTCCATACTGTACAATTCCAACCTGAAATACCAAGCCATTAGGAGTTAACCAGCTAGCAATATTCAATTTCATTTTTCTTTAGTTTAAACGTCTAGATCAGATGTCATACATTTTTGTCTTTCAGACAGTTTAAAAATTCAGCAGTACACAAATCTTTCTATTTTGACAGAAATAACCATTGCCACTTGTAGATATTCATAGCCCAAGGAACAAGAATGAAAGTGCTGTTGTTAAACTTCTTAAACAATTTGTTTATGTCTTCAACAGTTTCTACTGAATGACTCTGCAAGCCTTGTGGAGTAGAAGGTGCAACATACTGACATGCCTTCTGACTTCATTGAGCTTCTAAATGAGAGAGAGAGAGAGAGAGAAGGAGAGAGAGATTCAACACATGATCATTCCAATGCCTGTTCAATTGCAAACTATGGAGACAAGGCTGAAATGGAAAAGCTGTTAAGCAAGTAAACCTAGGGCCCTACTTCAAAATGGGGGTTAGGGAAGGCCTCTTTAAAGTGATATTCAAGTTGAGACCGAAAGGTGCAAGGAGGGTGGAGACTTTTTAATTTCCCACCCCAAAATCAGAGATTCAGAAAATTCTATACCCAAATGACTGTCTTTTTAATGTAGAAATTCTGGGCACTTCATTTCTTGGGTCCTGGGGAAACAATTTGAGACAAGGCTGCCTTCTTCCAAGGCAATTGCCTCATTCGCCCATTGGTAAAGTTGCCTCTAGTACTTTCTTCCCACCCATCCTATTTCCAATTCTGATCTCACTTCCAAGTGGCATGAAGGTTCAGAATCTACCTTCCAGCCTCCCTGAGGATATCACAGTCGTCAGAAATCTTTAGGTTTAATTATATGTCTGATTCATAGTTACCTTTCCACAGCTGGGTCTTCTTTGAAACCAGAAGCATACTCGGCATTTTCAGAAAGCAAGAACAAAACCTTCCACTTTTAAAATAATCTTTATCATCTTTGAGCCACCTTTTAGGGTACATGAGACATCTTGAAGCAATTATGCCACCATGCTTAAATAAGAATAGTACCCTATATTTTTAATGCCTTTTAAAAAGTTTTCCCCTAATTTATTCAGATTATAATAACATTAATTAGTATCACATTTTATAAATGAGAAATTCTTAGTTTAAAATATTCCTCACAATGAAAGGGCAGAAAAGAGTCTAGTCTAAGATGGAAATCCCTTATCCCAGGGATTTTGCAATGGAAAAATCACCCTACTTCGTCTCTACAAAAATATGCCTCCCTGAACTCCCTGCATTCTATGTCACCTCATCCTGCTAGATTCTGCTAAATGCTGCTGCCATTGATGAATTGCTACTTGAGTTCAATGAGCTAGCTAGCTGAGATACATTGGAGAATATAATACAGGAAGCAAACAAACAAACATTATATTTTAAAAGTAGAAATAGAACACATTAATCATTCCTTAGAGTTGCTTAGTTGGGTATAGGGTAAGTAAGAAAAAAACAGAGAGCATGTACAAGTGTAAGATAAGGTATATAATAAACTGAGTGAACATGCAATCCTCTCAATCCATGTCCAGGATAGCCCTGCTCTTCTATGAATATATCTTTCACTGAATATCTGCCACCATCGGTTGCAAGACCACATGCTATTATAATTGGAATAAAGATGATCAGAAATCCCTTTGGAAATAAAGCATGCTACAACTAACTACTTATGCAAAATAATAATAATAATAATAATAATAATAATAATAATAAAATGGATGAGGATACACACATAACTCCAATTCAGGTTATTTCCTTGAATCATAATTAAGTGTTATGGATAGTTATCTATTACTCTCTACATAGATGTAAAATTATTCTCCCAACGACCCTCACAGATCTTAATTAATAATCTAGGGAGACTGAATAATTATTAAGGGAAACCATGAAGGTTCAGCATTGTCTTTGTATATATAAATGTTTAGTGTAAATAAAAGTAAAATGATTTTGCAACTTAGATAAACATTATGCCTATTTTTTTGGTACCAAGGTGAATGAATGCTGCTGTGGAAGTTAATTGCTTATCCATTCAGGACATTTTACAGAGTTTCTTTGTTTTTATTTCTCTTTGTTTTTGTTTGGTCAAGCAGAAGGCTAAAGAACTTAGAAAATTGTCATTCCTGTCATTATTTTTATTCATTTTACTACTTGAGTGAATCTATTGAACACCCTACTCTCCCATTTGGATAAAATATTGAACAACCTAGTCTTATTTCTTTGATTTCCTCATCTTCAGGAATCTTTTCCTCTAGATCACTTATGTCATCCACTCTCAAGGTCTTACCCTTGACCTTGTCAACTGGAAAAACCGCAGCACCTCCATCTCAATTTCAAGTGTTCTACTGTTAACTTGAGATCACTTATGTCTGTCATCAATTCTTCACCACATCAAGACTTCCAATTAATTCAGAGATCCTATGGTTGGGTTTTTTTTGTTTGTTTGGTTTTTTGTTTTTGTTCCTAGCCTAGATTCCATGGTCCATCACCACAATCATTTACTTGCAAACTTTAACTCCTTTAACCTTTTTCCCCCCCATTAATTCACTTGGCTAACTTCCAACTCTGGTTAAGTCCAAATATCTCCTTTACTTTCTGTGCTTCTGTGACTCCAAATGTTTCTAGACAAAATATCACACAAATTGTAGACTGGTCTCACTTTAAAGTTACGGCCATGAATCTCAAATGCGGTTGCACATAACACTGCTCAACGGTCCTACTCCTTTGTACTAATGAGAGCACTTTGCTCCCATTTATTGAGTGCAATCAAATTATAGTCATAAGCTATTAACTCTTCAGGAAAAAGAGAGTATCACATTGATACATGGGGAGGAGTTCACATGAGAAGAGGAAAAATTTATGCCAATTAAATAAGGCTGCTTTGTGCCATTATATTTGACATTTCAACATACTTTACATATCTTATAAAACCTACGATGCACTATTGGATTATCTGGACACCAGGAATAGCAGAAAAATTTTAGCCTCTTGGTAAGTCAGAAATCAGTGCTTTATATCTCCTCCCTCCCTTCCTCTTTCTTTCTTTCTCTCTCTCTCTCTCTGTCTGCCTACACATATCTCACTTCTATAAGTTTACTCTTTAGAGAACTTGTAACTGTCAGTTGCCTCCTTCTTTCTTTATACTTTGCTTCTAACAACTCCATATGAGTCTCTTCAGAGGACTATCTGTCCTTGGACTGCTCGATCTGCTTTGTCCTAAAGGTTCAAAGAGCCAAGAATGCCTGGAAAGTTTTTTCTTTCTCTCCCCTTGCCCAGCTCCACAGGCAACGCCTGAGTGCAGACAGAGAAAGACTAGCCTCCTCAATCAGATCAGCTGAAGGCCTTGATTTCACCTGAAATCACACCCTTGGTTGTCCTCAGATGCTACTCTGTTTTGCTCCCCCAAATCTCTTACTATTTTCTTTGAAAAGCACTCCCTTAGTAAATCACTGTCACTTGGCTCATTTTCTCAGGGTTTGCTTCTGGGAAACCAGATTTAAGGCAGCTATTATCTGAGTTTCTACATTTCTTCATTGACCCAGGCCAGACTTCACTGCCTTGAACCTGGACTGTGGCAATAGTTGATCTCTTCACTGTTGGGTCTTCCTTGTATTTCCATTCTCCTCAGCTCTCCCATGTCTACATATTTATGGAAGGTTAACTGTCTTGAAATTCTGCTTACATAACTTCCTTGTTCAAAAATCTTGAATAACTCCTCATTGCCTACATCAGTGACTTTGAAATACACTCTAAATGGAATTTTTATTCTATTTAAAATAGAAAACAGATAAAACTTGAAGGCGCTCCTTAGAGATACAAGACTTGCTGGGTAAACCTCAATGTTCTTCCCCTGGCCTGCAGTCACTCAGCAGATTTTTTAGTTCTTCCACATCGTCAGGAGTCCCCTGGATGAACTCTGTCCCTACCAAATGTCTTTCCTCATCCCTCCAAAAAAGCTAAGTTCTACCCATTCTAGAATATCCAATACAAGTTTTACTTTCTCTGCAAAACTTTTCCCACCTAGTTGTCAGTCTAGCTTACTGATCTTCCCCTTCTCTGAACCATGAAGCAAACTTGCCTGTTTTATTCCTGGAAGTACTGCATTCTTCTCAACTTCTTTATATGCATGCTTTATCTCCCAACAACTCCCTTGTTCCAGAGGGGCAAGCAGGACTGAGGAGCATGGACTATGTCATAGCTTTCGGTACTCTCTTATCCCATGCCACTGTTATGCTTCGCTTATGACTGACCCTCATACATTCTTACTAGATGACTGTAACATTTCACATAAGCAAGTAGAAGACTGAGATAGCAGGGAAATAATGATAAGCAGAAAAAGAGAGGCACAAAGATGTGTGGGAAATGAGAAGACTGGGGGAGGTGGAATCTCAAATCTCAGGGAAATGACGCTCAGTGTAGGTCCCTGGCTGATACTTGGCTACATATTTCTTTAGGAATCAGACAGAATAAGGCCTGTTGTGTCTTCGCCAGAAAAGGGTGGGATTTATTGATTTTCATCACAGGAAAATGGTGAAATCATGAAACAAACACATGTAATGCTTTGCTGAGTATTGATGGGACCCAGTTAATAAAAACAGTTTCAGTCCCGGCAAAGGGTATACTTTAAGATTCATACTTGATGCCATGTATATATGTACATGCAACAGAATCAAATAAGGATGATAATGAAATAATGATAACAAGTGAGCCACGTGATGCATACACATTTTGAAGGAGGCAGGAGGAGAGAAGCACAAGCATATTTACTGTCTCACAGTGAAAGGCCTCCTGGAGGGAAGAAGGTGCGGTCCTGAATGAGGTATCCACGTAAAGAACAGACAGTGGGTTTACAAATGTAGAATGGAGAAAGCAAAGGAGTCTTCAGTGGAGAGTATGTCAAAAATGATAACGAACTGAAATCATTCTAGGAACTGAGAAAAAGAAAAATGGCCAATAACAATCATATTTGACTTGAAGCAGCCCATTGTGTTG